GTCAACCCCAGATTTACCTCCAACATCTGATCCAGCATTACTCGACGATTGACGATTGGGAGATTTCATTCAACCCGTTGCATCTACTATCAAACATTAAATCGGACGAATTCGAAGCTTTACATTCACTTGAAGAGGAAACTCGGCTTAGAAAGAATAGTGAAAAGGAAGTCACTCAACATAGAGCTTGGAAAGTCGCAGAGGTTTTTCGAAGTGAGGCAGATCATATTCAGGGTTAGAAATCTGCCTTTCCTTAAAAGACTTTGGGAATTATAATGCTTATTTCCCTGAAGAATCACCAGTCCGAATAACTTCCTCGAAGCAGCAACATTCCTTCTTTATACCTTCCTCCCCGCCGAATCTCAAGATGCCGCTAGTATCATCGCCAATTGAATACCCTCAAAGTTCCTCACCACCTCCAATGAAAAGGCCACATCCAACAAAGGCGTCGGGCCTTAGAAAGCCACTCAACGTCCGAGGGTTTCTGTTAGATGATGGCTCAGATATTGAGGAAGACTTTGAACAACCTGCGGCAAAGAGGCAGATGACTGAGAAACCCACTGATCCCATTACCATACTGGAAGAAGAATCACAAAAAGACCTCGCAAAGGAGATACAACCTTCAAGGACAGGGCCACGCCAAACTGTCAGTGGTTTCATGATTGACGAATCTGATGAGGAAAACGAGGAAGATTCAGTGGTGGGGGCTTCGCGAGACACACAATTGCCTAAACCTGCCTTCGAACTTTCAACAAATTCCACTGGGAGTAACATCAATACATCCACGTTACCAGTCTTCATGAATAACATAACGAGAAAAGCTGGAAACATACAAACATGCTCAGGGAAGTCTTTCTCAATAAACCTCAAGAAGAAGGCTGCACCTATATCGTTTGAGAAACTGGTAGCAGCTAGATCTGTGACAAAGGCAGGAAAAGCAAAGAAGAGTTACTATGGGATAAACATATCTGAGTTGGTTGAGGAAGCTTCAAAGGAAACTAAGGCAAAGGAATCAAGTAAAGCTGAGACCAGGAATGAAATCATACCCTCAATTGAGAATCTTGTAGGGAAGAAACCGCGCAAGACATTAATGTGGACTGAAAAATATAGGGCAAGACATTTCATGGAACTTTGTGGAGACGATCGCACGCACCGTCAGGTACTCCGATGGCTCAAAGCGTGGGATCCTATTGTATTCCCTAAATCCGGAAAACCTAAAGTTGCACCAACGAAGAAGTTCGGGGAACCAGATGATGAAAAGCCTCATCGCAAAATCCTTTTGCTTACGGGACCTCCTGGTCTTGGTAAAACTACTTTAGCACATGTTTGTGCTAGGCAAGCTGGTTATGAAGTTATGGAAATCAACGCTAGTGATGAACGAAGTCGAGATGTAGTAAAAGGTCGAATTCGAACAAGTGTTGGCACGGAAAACGTCAAGACTGGTTCGACCGTTACATCGAAATCTGGACATGTATCGAAGAACGCCCACCCACTTTGTGTGGTTGTTGATGAAGTCGATGGGGTTGTAGGAGGTGCTGGTGGATCGGGTGAGGGTGGATTCATCAAGGCTCTAATTGATTTGGTACTTCTGGATCAAAAGAATTCTTCGACAGTGGGTACGAATACCAATTACTCCAAGAAAAAGAAAGGTGATGATTTTCGACTTCTGAGACCTTTGATTTTGGTTTGTAACGATGTATATCATCCATCTTTGAGACCGCTACGCAATTCCAGTTTCGCCGAAATTATACATATCCGAAAGCCACCGTTGGATGCTGTTGTTCAGCGAATGCAGACAGTTTTTGAGAAGGAAGGAGTATCCTGTGATGGTGACGCTATTCGCCGATTATGTGAAGCAACGTGGGGAATAAGTCCGATGGATACTAAACAGGGGGCTGAAGGAACTGGTGAAGGCGACCTACGAAGCATTTTGGTAGTAGGAGAATGGGCAGCAGGGAAACTCAGAACCGAATCTAAAGGCGAAAGACCTCGCTTAACTAGAAAATGGGTCGAACAGAACATGACTGGTGATCTATCTCATGGTGGAGGTGGATCTCGGGCTGTTGGACGGGGAGGTGTCAAAGAAGTTGTGAACCGTGTGTTCCTGGAAGGTGCTGGTTTCCCCAGGCCAACAAGTTTTAAAAACATAGTACCAGACGACGCATTTGATACAGGGCCAAAAACGCAGCTTGGTGTTGCTGAACTTGCTCGGAAAGCTGGTATGGAGCGCCTTGGTTCCATGATCGAGACTAGTGGTGATACTGATAGGATCATGACCGATATCTTTGGTGAATATCCTAACCAGCCCTTCAATGATGACTCGATACTTTCTAAACCAGACGCTGCTTACGAATGGCTACATTTTCATGATAGTTGCTCATCACGCGTCTTTTCGGGTCAGGAATGGGAATTGGCTGGCTATCTTACTCAACCAGTTCTAGCATGGCATCATCTATTTGCATCGCCAGCTCGTCACTATTTCCGTTCTGACAACCAACCAAACAAAAAATGGAGTAAAAACGAAGAAGATGCTGAACCGGAAGCAGAGCCCTTACCATTTACCGGCCCACGTGCTGATTTCTCGGCCTTTGAAATGGAGAAGCTAAACAGAAGCACGATTCAGGAACTACAATCTCAACTTGACGCGAAACTTCTGAGAAGTTTTAGAAGTTGCGAGGATATTGCTATGGATCTGTTGCCTTATGTTGTACGTATGATAAGTCCAGAAGTCAAACCTATCATAGTGGGAGGAAGCGGCGAAACGAAAGGTGTAGCCAGTGTACGCAAGGATTCTGAAAAAAGAATGGTTAAGAGAGCTGTAGATGTTATGAGCGAAATCGGTGTAATATATGAGAGAGGAAGGTTGGAGGGTAGTGATGTAGGCGCGAAATGGGGTGCGAGTGAGTGGGTTTATAGGATGGAACCTCCTCTTGATACGCTGGTTACGTTTTTGACATCGCCGATCAAAAATGATGCGACGAATGTGAGATATGCGGTGAGACAGGTTTTGGATCAGGAATATCAGAAAAATATTATTGTGCGCGAGAATAAGGCGAGGCAGGCGAGGTTTAAGATGGGGAATGTGGATGGAGGGGATGAGGAATATTCTTTTGAGAAGGGGAAGTTTGGGAAGGGGAAGAGTGAGAAGAAGATTCTGGGGGTGGGAACCGGGAATGAGATTAAGAAGGATTTCTTTGGGAGGGTGTTGGAAGATAGAGGGGTGGGGAGGAAAGGGGATGTGGGAGCGGGAGAGAATAGAGGGGTTGGAGAGAAGAAAGTGCCGGAAAAGAAAGTGTGGGTTACGTTTCATGAGGGATTCTCAAATGCGGTTAGGAAACCAATTACGATTGGGGAGTTGATGAGAGGTTTGTAATGTTTGTGGGAAATGGGGTTGCATAGTATTGAATTGGTATTGCTACTCTTACTTGTATCGTATCAAGAACCGCGGAAGAGGTAATGAATCATGAATATAACATACATACATACATACATAGTATTGTAAGAGTTGAGGCCCCGGCTTATCGTACACTAAGCGAAAACACACCAAAAACCCTCATTTCTTCAACCTTTGAACTATATATTATTTCAATTAATAAATGAAATAAATTATTGAAATTGATATGTGTAATAATAATTCAATAAAATAATTCAAAAAAATGAGTGAAATATTTTTAATAATATTTTTGATAGAGTTATAGGTTTTTGAAATCAAAACTTTCAAATTTTTCAAAAAAAATCGATTTTTTTGTATAGGAAAAGTGTTATATATGATAATTTTTGAAAAATTTCAATTTTAAAAATCTATAATTCTTTTCAAAAAATTATTAAAAATATTTTATTTATTTTCTTAGAATTAAAATATTAATATCTCTTATATTTTACATTTTCAAATCAATTGTTCAATAATTAATGAAATAATTAAAGAAATTAGTTTATATAGAAAAACAGCTTTTTCGTAGGGATTTTGTTATGAAATAAGGGGGTGTGCGATAAGCCGAGGCCTCAACTCTTCATCGACTCGGAATATAAATGAGAATCACATCTGTATCGTACCACCATCTCACATTCCGTTCCGTCTCCCTAAGAAAAATATCTCGTGAATCCTTAGCTTTTATACGAAATACTACCTACCTAACCTAGGTATTTACTCCACCATTTGCTTTGGGATATTCACATGTGTTTTTGTGACGTTAACTCTTGCGTCTTTCCTTCCATTTCCTCCTATTTGATGATTATTGGAGGATGAGGATGGGAGATGGAGGATGGGAGATGAGAGATGATAAATCGGTATTTTCTCACCTCATTTGCAGATGGGATGCAGCAACAGGGGGTCGGGGTTTGTGGTTAGTTTTTCGACGGGGTCTTACTTCTCGTCTATAGAATATAATACGAATAGGGCGATTGGTGTTTTGCTGTTTTGCTGTTGTTTTTGATAGGTTGGTATTGTTGGTATTGTTGGTATCGTTTCTGTCGTTTTTGTTGTTCTTTGTGCACTGTATACCATATACGATATATCCTCTCCCGTGAATTAGAATTCAATTAACACTACTTAGGTACCTAGTACATACATACATACCACACCCACTTCCAAGAACACCATATTCTGGTATTCGGAATCTGCGGTTGAGATAGCGTCATAAGTCCATATGAAAGTTTCGATATTTTGTGGCTGGGGAGAATTGTGGTGGGTGGGGGGTGGGGGGTGGGGAGGTATTTATTTATTGGTGAAGGAGAGGTTGAAGGAAGGGGCTCGCTTAGGGAAGCTGGGTTATACGAGTTGGGTGGAGGGTGGAGGGGGATGTGGAGGGGAGCTCGGCTTCTTTGGGGTTAGGGGAGGGGGTTTCAGAGTGATGAGGACATATCTTATAATCATGTGAGTGAATAATTTAGGGTGGGAAAATGAAATGGCGATGTGAATGATAAGAGGAAGAAGGCGCGAGTTGGAAGAAGAGTTCGCTTGATTGAGGCTTGACTGAATTTGTGGCTTTATGAGATGAACTTCATCTTCCTGCTTTCTTTAAGATAACTGAAAGTGGTCGAAGCAATTTCGCGAGCAAGCGTGGTGACGACATTTCAGAAACCGGCTTCAAGACGATCCGGTTGATTGGTTTGCGGTTCTTGGTATAGGTACCTACTGGGGGAGGCACATTGCGCTGTGTATTCCATGCATGTGTTGTCATATTGTTGGACAAAAGTACTCTGTGTTTCTTGCTGTCTTCGCTTGGAACATTTTCATCGTCGTCTCAATTTATCCTTTAATGTGCGTTTATCTAACGGAACTTCCCTGGAGATGTACAAGATTCCCTGAGATACAATCTAAGGACTTAGCCTTTGTAGCTCCAAAGGGGCTGAGATTCTAACGTCCTTCATATTGAATGAATTCATGGCTGCCTGTGTTTCTGTCGAAACTGGCATACGGGAATGGAAGCTTATATATAGAGACAGAAAGGAGTATATTCACTTCCTCTACTTATGTTCCTGAAATTGAGGATTGCTTCTGATTTGTTTGGATTCACTTCTTCAGTGTCTTTATTCTACTAACTCTGTTATAAATTCTCAATCGTTGAGATGGTAGGATGGCTACGAACAAGACAAGGAACAGTAACGTCAAGAAACTAAGGGAGAAAGAATTGTTGCGAGGTTCATTACGATAGAGCTGAGAAGATTATTCTTGTACGGCTTTGCACAATTATTATCGAAAGCTTCTCTTTGGCGCGGGTAGTTCAGATGTATGAAAACTTTTGGTGACGGAAAATGATGATAACGATGATGATGAGGAACAATAGCAAGAAGTCGTAACAATACGGTTAGAATTCAACACCTAGAGCACTCGTCAAGCTCAACGTTCAATTAGGAATTGCTACATTTCTTGCAGATGAGAATGATCAAAGCACGAGAAACACACATTTTTATCAAGTTCCATTTCTCTTGGTTTCCATGATTCGCAGGAAGTCGTGTCTCTTTCTTGTATATTATATACACGGAAATCGAGATCTAAGATAAATTTTCGAAGTACATACCTTTAATACGATTCATAGACTCAACAATTTGTTAGTTTGGCTTCTCCTCACTGGATCGCTAGATCTAGTCTGTCTTTTTATGATTCACATGCATATATGGATTGGGTTCCTCCTTGACTCGTTCAATAGTGTTGGTATCAACTTGGTTGATAAGTGTAAGTACTTAGATCTATGTGGTTGTATTCGTTCTTGATCATTATTATCTATGGGAAGCTAGTACTAAATATAGGGTAGAACTAGCGCGACGCTAGCTAATACAGTGCCCTCTTTGATCACATGATCGATGTCCCGACAAATAGTTTGAAGTGGAACTCTATTCACTAATTGTTCCCTGCGCATCGGTATAAGTAGTAGATACATCGGAAGCTTTTCAGACTTTGAACTGTGTTTCCCAACATAAGATTCATATTGAGAGGCGCGAAATGGCATACAATGTGCTAACTTTGATGATGGACCTATAGAAAAGTTGATATAGACCCTTAGATATCCGCTTAGCCATGCTTTCGATTGATAGAGGTTCAAGCACTATCATTGTTATACAATTTTGTTGTTACTTTATGTCATATCGGGATTCATTATCATTCCATTCGCGTACTTTCATCTACCTGAACTTCACATGAACCGCAATAGCCGCACAAATCGCGTGTAAAATTCACACCTCGGTGCTATTCTCCTTCGAAGTATCTGGTGTGCTATCTCAATTGGCAAAAGATTCAAGCCATAAAGATCCTCCATCAGAGATAATCTTACAAGTTTTGGAACTTTGAATATGATTTTCGTGCTCATATATACCTACCTAATTAAGTAAGCTACCAAACCTTTACTTCGCATTCTCGGATATTCACCTAGGTTTCTTCGAATGACTACAAGAAACATATAAAAGGCTATAATATGTTGTCCAAGTTAACAATCATAGAGTCTAAACCGACGAGGAAGCCCCTCAAGGTGACTTTCAAGCTAGCATTCCTGCTGGTGAAGCCTTTGAAGAAGCCGGAGTTAGTTTCTGGCTCGGGTTTTGTGTTTGAAGAATGAGAGTTCTTGTTGTTGTGCATCTTGATCTACACTCGTTGTCGTCTTGTCACTTTCAGTACCAACCACATAAAATCGATGGTGTATGACATAAACGATACTTATGTGATTGTGCGGGATGGTGTCTAACATAGTGAAGCTTTAAGTTTGTACCCGTATTCGAATTTCCTCCTCACATTCGAGTTGGTCTTCAGTGACTTTTCCTACGTAGTAACAGAAGACTTAGTCAGAATTCCCTGCGTACTTGCATCTCTCACAGCATTCTCTCCTAGATCGATTTCCAACCTCTTTCGATCACAGAGATCTTACTTATGAAAACTTTTGTGAAACACGTTCAACGCCTGGGTACCTGTTGTAATTAACTCTTGTACCTCTCATCAGACTCACCATACAATGATTCACATACAAATCTTCATATATACACCCATTTTCACTTCAAAAGTAAACCCTTATCACCCAGGTGTTCTAAGATTCGTGTTCTTCTTTCTCATGTTTCGCTCTTATAAAGTAAACAATGCTCACTTGGACTGGCATTTCTATTACTGAGGGAACTTTCCACGTATCATTCAACCAAAACCTATGGAATTCCAGACACCAGACATGACTGGCTATCGTCTTTCGCACAAGCGTATTAAGATATGCGCGATCTGCGTCCACATACAAACTTTTGACACGGTGAGATATCATAGTATAGCTGCCATTCTCAAATGCCGCCGATGAAGTTTACTAAACTTTAGGCAATAAAGTTTGTGGATCCTTCGATGATAAAACATTTTCGTATCTGCACTCAACGTGAAATCTTATGCTTATTTAATTTTAAAGAAATTGTCTATTGAAAAGAGAAAATTCATATTTGTTCATTCACATCAAATATACCACCACCTCTATAATTATATTCTCGATAGGGTTCTTGAGTACAACACAGTCCTCTGGTATAATACCCAAGTATGTAAGAATCAAGTGCTAATGATCGTCTAAGCGATTATATAGAATTCGTTTACTGGGAAAAGGGATGCAATGAATTTCTATTCAACATGATGAGCTAGCTATACACAAATTCACTTGAATCGCTATTACTACCTTGATACCAGTGCTCGAGATATCTATGCACAGGGTCTTGTGATCATACCTATTTAGTGGTACTTGTGTGAATAGTGAATGATTTACTACCCTCCACTTTTCATTTCCGTTCTCTATTCCCATCTATAAGTTACCACTTGATATCTTTCGGATCTCCTTTCTCTTTGCAGACCCAAGTTCTCCAAAGATCTCCGAAGATCATAAAGGTCGCGGTAATTGGAGGTTCGTGCGGCCGTCGAAAGAGTAGCAATTTATTCTCAGACGTCGTGTTAATTAGTAGCAATGATCTGACTTCAAGGATAAATTAAGAGAAACAAATGAATAGTGATGTTTTATTGAGAAATGCTCCACAGTATTGATCATTGACAACGGAAGTTACCTTTTTGTTTAATTGTTTTACACTGCCACTTATCACATATCTATCAATGCTTATGTCACTGTCATTTCTCTCATAGAAAGAATTACAGATTTAATATCCTGGGCACTTGGATCCATATCAGACGTAGAGAATTCAATTAGCAATTTGTAGACATTCAACAGATAGCTCAAAATTAATAGCCCGATCTTTGGTTTTCCCATAACTTTATTTCTTTTTGCACTGAAGTGCTTCGTTTGAGCTGAATATGGCCGTATTTATGGGCACCATCCATCTCAAACCATTCTTCTCCTCTTTTCGGCTCAGTCTCTGATAAGGAGACATGCATCTACTGTAGAATGGATTCGTGGATGGATGTGGTATCCAATAAACGAGAAAGCCTTATAAGAATTGAGTTCTTCCCATGGGAGTCAACACCGAGAAGTAATCTCGACACTGATATGTGCCATAAGAAAAATTTAAGGTCTAGTGATTAATCAATCTTTCTACAGAACTCTATCCTGTTTTCGCCAACCTTTCCAAGAAACAAGAAGAAGTACAAAAGCTCAATTATTGAACTTCATTGTTGTCAATTGCTCACCTGATATGTATGTTGCTGCACGTTCAGAAATACAGACGAAAACCCATCTGAAGAGACAATATGAAAATCTTTCGAGAGTTGCTGGCGAGAGCTGACTGTGTACAACATTTCCTGGGAACGTGAAATATGAACTACAATCAAGAAGCAGTGGAGAAACAAGACGCGAAATCTTGTAGTATCCTCATCTTTCTTGTCTGAATTTGGAAATTCAAACAACAGAACTATGTGGTGTGTATTTAAGTACCTTGAGAAGTCACTCAGCGTTCAACTAGGAGAATGTGTCTATGTTGTTCGACGACATGTTGATTCACCCCCTGACGATTCACATTCTCTGAAGGCCTCGTTGAGTTCCACAATCCTCGTTCCTTTCTCCTCATAAGCAGCATGCCTCACTCCATACAGATCAGGTGGATGCCGAGGTCGCACTACTGCTAGATTTTGTATTTCACCTTAATCTACGAAGATTTCTATGCGTTACTGAGACAAGTTTTTCTCATAAAAGTGATCCAAATAATAAAGTACTTCTATTATCTTCTCCGAAAACGTGTTTGGTTCGTTTAATCCATCATAATTCTATCGATTCTTCATATTTCCCTGACAGCTGTCAGCGACTTTCAAGAAACGGCTGTCCATCGCGTGATGTCTGATACTTTTGAAAGTCTACCGACTAATGACAGGTCGCTTGATAATCCATCTCTCTTAGCAGAAGATGTGAAAAATCGACCCATCTTCATTTCCCATTATCTTTATATGTAAACACTGAATGTTGATACTTGAAGCTGTTCGACCACATTGTGTCCCAGTTCTTCGTCTACGAGATCAACCTCCAAACCATCATATTCAATTTCGATAAATCTACCAGGTCAGCAAGGCTTCTCCCGGCCAAGAAGGCTTCTCCCGGCCAAGAAGGCTTGAAAACTCGGAAAGAATTCGTTCATGACTTTTAGAATTGACTATTACCACCAGCTTGATGAACTAAACACCAATGACGCGACCCCCGCACTGGCATATCTTTGATATCCATGGACAGCAAATCGTAGAGAAAACCTAGTCTACTACAAAATGGTTCTCAACAACTGATTGACAGAGCTGGAGCAGAATTCGTTATTGCGGTGTACCCCAAGGTTGTCAACCAAAGCCGGGGAGATGTAGATATATCTCTATACCGCTGTCAAGATTTTTTGCTGTCGTTCACCAATAGAAAGATTCGAGCTGAATGAGAACACTTTATGAAACTTGATGAAGTCTTATGAATAGATAGAAAGCAAAGTGAAAACATTACATGTCACCAAATCAAAGTAGAATCTCCAAGGCCAAGACGCAATGTTATTTTGGGGTGTTTGATGCAGTGTTTGTTATTGAGAGTTGGACTCTTCCAGGATAACACAAGTTCCCAATCTTCAGAAGTCTTTCGTCGTTATGAGCACATCGAGCGTCCTTTTCCCCACACTTCGAACCAGAGTCATGACCAGTAGCCCTCATCTTCTGGCTCTGTCCCAGGGCCTCTCATCTCCGTAGCTTTCTGGCATCTCTAACATCGTGTCAGATCATGGTAAGCTAAAGAACCAATAACCAATGTTTACCTCACATGTTCCTTTCGTATCTTCGATCTCCTGTCTCAGAAAAATACCACCGCAGTTTTCTGATGGCTGCTTGCATGGAATGTCTATCGAAGGGCTTTGGTGAGCACATTCAAATAATCGGATGACTTGATAACACATCGTGGTTGCTTAGAAGGTGTATCGTAGCGACTAAGAAGAAATCCTTGTGGGTGATATCAGTCGTAATAGCTGATAAATGAACGTTCGCAAGACAGGCTGAACTTTGTGGAGAAGAACAGAAGTGGATACATGGGACCTCTCCACAAATGTATTCACAACCCAAATTTTGTCGACTGTAGGACAAAGACGACAAGCTATTTGCTGAAGCGATTGTTCTTCTTTCGGAACTGAGAGGCAAACGAGTCGTCTTATGTCTTGCTACCGAAAAGTGCGCCTAACTTTGGTCGCGTCAAACAACGTTTCAATTTTTGATAGCCGTTCCCTTGTGTGTCAGAATGACTTCCTTTTCATTCCGATCACCACCAGCATACTGCATCTCAACTTCTAAGCCTCCAAGTCCTTCATCAGCTGCTTTTCGGTTCCACAGCATCTGCATAATCTTTCCATCCGCTCCGCACAGTACATAACCCATCGGCCATTGACTCCTGCCTAGAGCTTCTCTTACACCTTTGGTTGCTGCTTGCTGCGAAACCAGAAATGCCATTACACTAGATGTTCTCCATCCTTGCGGAGCACCTACAAAGGTGCCTTCTAATTCACGAGCTTGAGCTGGTTTCATTTTGGACGCAAATGCTTTGCATTGTATGAGGACTTTTAATGGTTGGGGAGCTGTGGGCAATGACCAAGTTCCAAGAAGATCGATACCACAGTCTGATCTTCCACCAACTTGCCTGAGAGACATTCCCAATCGTTCCAATGCTTGCTTGACCATATATTCATAATGAGTTCCTACATATGTAGTACTGCCTGTGTCCATGTTGTTGCGTGATGCATATTCTAGAAAACTGGGCAGATCATGATGTTCTGCATTCTGTAAGTGAGGATACGCTATTTCATCCACTTCGGCATTAGTTTTAGACGCATTTGCTGTTGCACTGTTTGCAAAATATCTGCGTGATGATTGCTTGCCCCATCGCAAGAAACGCAGATGAGAACGTGCTAAAAACATGGAGATTGGCTGAGTTTGCTGGTATCATGTGACTAGCATAATCCTCCACAGCGTAGTTCGTCCTAAATAATGCAAAACGGATGTAAGAGCGGGCTCTTATTGGGTACCTGCATACACTCTTTCGGAAAGAAAGACGAGCGGCAGGAATGAGCATGTACCTATGCAGTGTGAAATGTTTTTCGGATATCGATGCTCGGAAGCCGGAAATTATGTAAGGCTATGGTCCATGATCTCTACTCAGCTAAACCCTTTACGGTCATCTCCCCGCATAAGATTATCTGCAAGGCTGACACCAATTCGTGTAAGCTCTGGAGCATCGGTTTTGAGATCTTACAACACTGATTTCCCTTTCGTTATCAGCAACAAGTCATGGCTGATCGATTGACACAACTTCAAGAAGCAATTGATGAGGTCTAGTTTATTATTAAAAAGCATCCACGTTCAACCACTGACATTACCTTAGCTCGCTCTTCAATTCGTCGCGTCGCTCGTATGGGTTAACAAGCACCATGACTACCAAACTCTCAGCCCAACCGACATGGTCCGAAAAGATACGAAGAAGGACGAATCCGGCGAAGCATTGCCAAATGAAGACGGCTGTGAGATTGCCAGCCCCTATCATATGCCAATTTTGACTCACCCCTTTACTATAGTAGAGCCATTACCTGCGGACAAATTCAAAGACGGCCAGCTAGAATTAGCACGGGATCTAATCATCAAGGAGCAGCAAATCGAGGTGCTTATATCTGCATTACCGGGACTAGAAGACAGCGAGACCAAGCAGCACCAGACGATCCTAAGATTGGAGCGAGAATTGAAAGAAGAAGAAGAGAGGAGAAAAGAGGCTTTGAAAGAAAAAGAAGCTGTTCTGGCTAGGTTGGAGGGAGTTATAAGGAGTGTGAAGAGACCGTGAATCGACAGCTATTGAGCCCTTCATTCGAATATATTATACCTGCAAAATCTGGCGTTTGGGTAAGCACAAGGCGTTTAGGAACATGGAAGTGGTCAGAATGAGGGGTTGAGGATAGAAAAGTCTGCAATCGAGCGGTGTGTCACAAATCTAGACAGTCGACTGTTCTCAGCTCGTTACGTTCGTATATGCACACAGTTTTGTCACCCGGTAGGACTGTGGCCACTGCAACCCTGGCTGATGGAAACCGGTGTGCTTTTAGATAATAGGAATACTGCGTTATAAGATTGTCAAATGAAGATAATTGAGATACTTCAAAGTGGCTCACGAAGGTGTGTGGTATTATGTATTGGTCTAGTCTATTCTACGGAAGAACAAACGTGGGTCTCTCTCTTATTGTCCACTTTATTAATGAGAACTACTTCCCTAAGGAATGTTGAATGCTTCTTGTCACATCATCGGTGCTTCATGTAGTGGTGAAAAACTGTGGGTAGACAGTTCTCAGCTCTTCCAAAGTGCTGATTTGGAAATTCGCTACGGGCTTAGCAGGCGATTTCACACCTTCCTCAACCAAGTGAGCTGCTGTCCAACCAAGTTTATAAGCCGCCTCGCAGTTTATGAGCGAGTCATCTGAGATGTGTGAGTAGTAGTACGATAAAATCGGGCTCACAAAGAACTTACCGACAAAATAACAATCTTTAAACTCCTTCACTCCAGCTTCGCTCATGGCCTTTTCGAACGATTCTTTGTACGGTTTGCAAATCATTTTTTCCTGAGCATAATCACAGTATGTCATACCCTCAAACAAATCTTCTACCCCGAGTAGACGCACAACACGTTTCCCGTGGGTAACATAAGCATTGGTGAATAGCCAGAGCTTGACTTTGGACCGATCAATGTCCTCGAGTAGCTTGCGGAGCTTGGGATCCACTGAAAGAATGCTTTCTAATGGGACAGCATCGTCTACTTGACGATTGTATTCCAGAGCATCAATCTTGTGGTGACGGACTAGACCTTCGATGGCGAGTCCATAGGTTTGGTAGTATTCTTGATGGAGCTTATAGGCATCCTCTCGACTAAGCTCAAGGTGTTTCATGAAATAGACATCGATCAAATCGGTCATGTGGTCATGAACCTTTTTACCTAAGGAGTGTATTGCGTCAGTCAATGCATTGGAGGATTAATGTGTGAATGTGGCAAAAGAGAGATTCGTACTCTTAGAATATAGCTGTAAAGAAGATTAGCAATCATGAAAGCGTATCAACTATAAGTATTAGCTTACACAATTATCAATATCAAAGAAGAAGACAGGTCGCGAATCCCCCATCTTGTTGGTGGTGAAATGAGAGTTAATAGGGGTAGGTATAGAGGAAGTAGTAATTGGTGATCTAATTGCTCTAGTAATGGTGTAAGTGGGATGTGAAAGGAAAGTGCGAGTTCTAGCACATTTGAAGATGCTATACATTGGTTAACAAAAACTAAGAGAATGTGGAGAGTGTTCGGGTTATAATAGTATGTATCTAAAGAGTCATTCGGGGAACATCGATGCCGGCCGATCGGATATTCACTTTAGTACGAGTGCCGTATCATTTCTATGGTAGAGTCCACGCTTAGTCATACAACTCTGCACCTATCCATTAATTTTCTAGCCGACATAATTTCTCGACCTTCTTGACATTCAACCTTGTTCCTTAAAATATCGACACGAATAATCGTTCAAACAACACAACTTTGGCATTTATAGTCAATCATCAATTCCTTTCTTAGACTGAATACTTGCATACGCAATAAGTCAATTTCTCCTATTGTTGATTAATTTAATTGCTCACTATTTTCAAACATGGCCCAAGGGGCTGTTGCTTTTGTGCCGACCAATGGCACAAATGGTGTAACACTGACAACAGAGAATATTCGTGAAATTCGGGAGTACGAGAAGATAATTTCATTTCGAGATGCTGTTCTTGCAGGAACTCATCCTCGCGTCAAAGTCCCTTCTCATATTGTAGGAGTGGGAAAACAGAGCAGTCTAGCTCGTAATACATCATCACCTAACACATCAGCAATACGCGCAAATGCGCAAGCAGCTATCGACTCGGCACCATCCTCGAAGAGTCATTCACCAGTCAATTATCGTGCTGCCGCGGCAAACAGCCACATTGCGAAACAGTCTGTATCTACGATTTCTAATAAATCTGTGAAAACTTCAGAGATTAATCCAATTCTGTTGGAAAAATCTGATGATCTTATAAAGGCGGAAATACAATTGCAAAGGCAGAGATTGGAAAGAGCTCTTAGGGAACAAATGGACCAACATCGTTTGGCTCAAAAAGCTTTGCTTCAGACATCTGAATCCCTCCCCAATTTTGATCTTACCGAAGTTTTGCAAAAAGCTCTTGCTATAGTTCATCCTGCCACGGCTCCAGAAGTTGAACCTTCTGTGGGTGCTGGAAGTGACTCGTTTGATGAAAATTCTTTCTATTCTAGTCAGCATGATACCCCTGAGCCATCCAATTCATCGCATAGCCACAAGCCAACCCTAAGCGGGCAAGTACGCGGTGAGGTTTCGATTGAAGAATCGGCAGCTCAAACTGATCCTACACCCAATGTTGAAGACAATGATGTGGTTATGACTGGTAGTCTACTATCCCAAAATAATCATCTAGAATCTCAGACAAATTCACAATCACAGTACCGCCCATCAGGAATCCAGAACAATCATTCTGCTGAACAACAGTCTCCAAATGCCTTTCGAGGAAAGGTTGTCCAAGAACCACCATATTCCAAGGGTGTACCTCGTAGAGTATCGGACATTGTTGATCTTTCTCAAGACAGTAGGAGCACAGGCTCTGAAAGCGCAGGTTCTCAGCAGATGGGTGATGGAGTGGCCCCAGCAAAGGCATCTCAAATGAATTCGCAGCAACCACTGAATACCCGAGCCCATAATCTATCTCCCCTAGCACCACAACCTGCTCGTGTCTCACCATTGGCTACTGCAAGAGACCCCCCTATCCTCAGAGACGCCCTTCCCGTCAATGAGGCACAACAACCTCAAGTTGCTGCACTTCGAAATGCAGCCTCAGGTTTATCTAGTGCAGAAAGTTCCCCGAATGGACCAAAGATTTCGGAGAAGAAGAAAGGAAAGAAGAAGAAGCGTAAGGCTAATGATAGTGGCCAAAACGATACTCCGGATTCTCCGTATATCAAGGCAGAACCCCGTTCACCATCCCCATTTGCTGCTGTACCTTTACCACGACCACCAAAGAGACAGCGACAGTCAGGACAATACGCGTCTGAACTTAACTATGATGAGCCTAGATATGAGCCAGTTGAGGTGATTCCGGAAGCCACTTCCAAAAGATATGAAGAAGTCCGAGCTCCTATGCGTTATGAGGGAGGTTACCCAGATCGATATGCAGAGATTCGTCGACCAGAACCCATATATCAACGTGTGGAGCGCGATGAAGTCGAGTATCAAAGGGTTGATAGCGGAGGACAGTATACAAGAAGACCAGCGTCTCCAGTTTATGCTTTACCATACTCTCGGCCAGTTAGAGAAAGCTCTCACGCAATCGTGGACCGACAACTTATTGAGGAACCTAGATATTTCGCCGAAAGAGAACGACCTGTATTATCCAGAATGAGTGTCCGCCCGGATGCTGATCGCGAAAGGTCTCGATCGCCGATTATGAGAGAAAGAAGATCACCAATTCCAATGGGGCCTCCACGTCAACCTGTTAGGATCATTGTTGATGCATATGGCCGTGAGTATATTGATCCCACTCCTGCACCTTCAATGCGTCAGTCAGTTGCTCCAATTGCCAGAAGGCATGACGACGGAGAGCTGTATTATGAGCGTGCCCCCGTTAGGACAATGTCTACTCGTCCACCAGTAGAAACATTTGAAGAGGATGGAGTGTTATACAGAAGAGCCTCTCCCATCGTTGCTGCCCCACGACGTGTCATTACACAGCCAGAGTACGCCCAACCCGAATATCGCTCGTACCGTGAACGGGAATATTCAGTTCGCCCAACTCCAATGGGACCACCAGGCGAAGAATATGTTAGAGTCAGAGCTCAACCTGAGCGTCGTCAAGCCAGTCACTACGATGAAGCTCCTCGTGAGTATTTGTCTCGACCACAAAGCGTGCGACCTGAAGCCATTAGATATGAAGTCCCTAGAGAATATGTGGGAAGACTTTCTAGTGTCCGACCCGAGGCTTCTAGGGAGTATGCTTCAAGCGCTCACCCTGAAGTTCGTCGCGAGGTTATGGCACCTCCTCGTCGAGAATTTAGCGTTCGTCCGACTGAAATAGTTCCTCGCAGTCATCAGCCTGCTGCAGCAGAAGGAGAGAGATATTATGAAGTGGAGAATCAGAGGCCTGCTATTCTAGAGAGGCCTCGGGAACGCGAAGGTTCGGTGTTCATTTATGCAGATGATGTACCAAGAAAAGTGTACCGCTGAAACTCGTAACAATCCATGAAAGCCAAGACTGAATGTAGCGGTATCCAACCGGCAGTCTGTTCCGATTCGATTGTGGCTGATATCATACTACAAGGTGTGTGGGTGGAGAAGCATGAAGGGGTAATGTGGCGTAATGGGCTTGGAGGAATTTTGTGCGGTTTATTAAAGAGCCGTCTTGGATTGGATATCGGGCTTGTAAATCATCAGTGTAGTCAGAAGCAAGTAATTAAAATATAAGTTATTGTACAACTATCATAATGCCCAAAGCCGTAACATATCAAACTCAATCAATCTGTGATCAACGTGAAGGTTTTCATGGGTGAACGAATGCAACACCGGCGAGCTATTTTAGTAATCAAACCAGACCAAAGCAAACATCTCTCAACGAAGAACCTTGCAGATGATAGTTAACTAACACAGCATGCTTTAAGTCTTGAACCAAGCACGAGCAAGCATACATCACTAAGAAGACAAAGTCCGGGGTCTAGACCGAACTTTAAGTTTGGACTCTGAGTAGTAGGCAAGTTGTTCTGTAGGTATTTCCGTTTTTGGGCGTTTTTGTTTATGGGGCACACACACCCACACGCTGGAACTGGTGGACAGAAACAAGAATACCAAGTCATGTTTCAAATGGGGTTTTGATGGAATGTTTTTCTGAGGGTTTTATGGAGTGCAGTGGGGATTTTATGTGGATTGATGGATGGATTGATGGATGGATTGATGGATGGATTGATGGATGGATTGATGGATGGATTGATGGATGGATTGATGGATGGATTGATGGATCTTTTCATTCAATTTACTTCTGGGAGGGAAAGGAAGAAGAAGAAGGAGGGGGAGAAGAAGGAGGAGGAGGAGGAGGAGAAGGAGAAGGAGGAAAGGATTAGTAAGCGGTGTGTACTAGATAAGGTGCCTGAAGTCATCGTTGTGAGAATCATGAGATGATGAGGCGAAGCAAAAGCTGGATCCAGCTTGATTAGTTGGTAATTGGTCGGTAGGTAGGTACTAAGTAGCTAGTGGACCATCAAGACGAAATGGATGATCATTACTGTAATAGGGATGTAGGATAGATGATCTTGAGAATGTGTGTGTGTTTTCTTTTTTGGTTTTTTTTTGTCTCTATCTTTCTTTCTCTTTGGAGAAGGGAGTTTTGAGGATGGCGGATTGGAGGAGTTTTGACTCGAAACTTGGAAAGATTTTGTTGAAACGGATTATTTGGGGTTTGTGGGGAGAGAGGGTTTGGGTGGTTGTGGTGGTGGATGGGTGGACGCATGGATGGATAGGGTGTTGAAATTATGTTTATTATATCTTCTTTTTTTGATGTAGTTTATTTGTTTATGTGAGGATATGATGTGGTAGGTACCTAGGTAGGTAATTGAATGATTGTAGAGGATACTCAAGTTTGGTGTATTAATGTTCATGTCATAGAGTAGGTAGTAGGTAGGTAGTAGGTAGATAGTAGGTAGGTAGTAGGTAGGTAGTAGGTAGGTAGATAGTGGTGGAGGTGATGGTTGTTAGAGCGGCAATGGCGTGGGAAATTGGTGGGAGGTTTGTAACTTATTAACAGTTGATTGATTGATTGATTGATTGATTGTACCCAATTGCAGTTGGGTGATGTTATTAGTTTATTATCATTGCCGTTGTATATGAAGTGACGATAGTATTGATTAAATCTTTCGAAGCACCTCGTGATATGATATCGATAATTAATAAGAAGCAATGAAGAATGACAAAAGGCTCGTCTATTATTGCCTTTATACATCCATTATTGCGGTTTTATTCCTGAGGGAGACTCTAAAAAGCAAGGAATCTATCTGTATGTACGCACCTAGTAATCACCTACCTGTCTATCGTAGTACCGGTATCTGTCCATCTATCCCTCAATGAGTTTACCATGTACCAAACAACTACAAATAATACCGTACGATATTGAAGTTTCCTTACCTCCCTTACCTACCAACGGACTACACCTACCCAGGCGAACCAGGTATCTACTAGGTAGATGCAACAACATTCCCATCCGTCCATCCAGCCTACGGGTGTCGATCTTACCACTACTGTTCGTCATTGACTCCAGCTCGTCCAGTCTACATCAACACCTACCCAGGTAGTGTAGTATGTATAGTCGCATAGTATATGAATTCTCTCTCTTGCCTCGTTGTTCATTTAGCTATACTGGGTCTTGGCTTCCTAATTCCTGAAAGATTACTTTCTTCTCCAATCCAATCATATCAAGAAACTTCAAACTTTCTCACTATCCACGCTCAGGCATTTATTTATCTCTTTGCGATACAATTGTGGTGGAATTTGGCTACAATACTGGGATCTCGCACAAAAGTTTTCAAACTTTCCCTTCTCCATTGACCAAAGTCGAATCAAATCGAAGAATAAGACTTGAGTGGATTGCCCGCATCTTTCTTTGTGTCCTTTGTGCATGCATCGCTGTGTCAAACGTACATTAACAAAAAAAAAAAGTCAACCCTCGAACACACGAACGAGAGCTCAAGCTCACTCAGTGCCCTTGTTTACCTCGCTTCATACGATATTATCTGCATTGCGACTTCACCAATTGAAGCGCGAATTGGATGACAACGATAGCTTTCTAACTATCGTCGCTGTTGGCTGGATTGTACGATATTGGAATAGTACGAAAGTGTAAAGAGGGACTTGTAAATAGCTTTAACCATATATTTCTCTATAGACTGACTACAGGACACCATCACCTCTTTGAACCACCTCCATTATCGTCGAACCATATCTCTTGGAACATTCTCTCCACACACACCATATTAACTTTACCACTGCGAACAACGGATTGGACCAACCAGAGGCTAACATCCAATACTCGAGCCTTTTCTTACTCCTCCTCTTCCTCGTCTTGTTCTTGTTCTTCTTCTCCTCCTTCTCCTTCTTCACCAATATTGATACCCTGATACTACATATCAAATCAGTTTCATATCATCTTTCGTGCCTCCTCTACATCTACACTACGTTGTACTTACCTGGCTGTATTGTACAATTTATCAAGATAAGATACGATTACTGTGCGTATCTGTTCCTCTCGACCTCGCAAACCCAATTGCTTTGCTTTACTTTACTTTACTTTTGCTTTGTCTCCGGCTGCTTTAACCTTCTCATTCTTCGATTGCCCACTTCGATTTCAATCATCATACAACACAGACCACTCATCAGCCCCAAAATCTTCGCTTGTCATTACCGAACCGGTCTGGCTCAATTCATCCAGCTTACTTACTGATCAAAAGCAGCAGGAGCCCAGTCTTTCAACTTACATTATCTTTGGTACCCCAAATATCTTATTTGGTCTACTTCCCTTTGACCATCTTCGACCCTCCACAACTCAACCCAAATTTGTGTGGTCGAGTTTGTCAACAACAAAACACACAACAAGAATGAATAAATTATCAAACCTCGGTCGCGATATGAGGCACTGGTCAGGTCCAGGATTTGGCATGTCGCGACAAAATCAAATGAATGGCATGTCCTCAATGCCGCCTCACACAAAACCGACTCCTTCACCAGCGCTGGCACCAACCCCTGCGGACTCTACTATCCACTATTCATTCAATATCCCCTTCGCTTCCGATCTCGCCGGTCCAAATACTGAGGATATTCTTTACGCCACGGTCAATGCTGTCCTGAGATGGACACATCCCAAAGACGCGCCTGATGACATTCCTGTGTGGAAGTTGCCGGTACACACCTCAAATATCGAAATTCTCTCGAAACTTTGCGCAGCTATTACCAATGGACCTTTGCCCATCTTGGCGGATGTCGCTGTCACCACGCCTAAACGTCCCACTGCCTCCCCAGCACAGGTTACAACCGTCACTCTCTCGGGAAGCCCGGAATTGGTACACAAGAGCAGAGAAACAATCCTAAATGATACCCCTATCGCCTTGGTATGATCCATACTGTTGTCCCCGGTGATTCCAACGTACTAACGTAACCGTAGCGTTGTGCAGTCATAGATGTTGACGGAGACTTGATTATGGATTCCGCGATCTCAGGCTTGAGACAATCTGTCGTTGAACACTTAGACAAAGTTGCCGCATTCTGCGGTGTTGATATATTCTTATTAGGTCCAAAATTTCCTTCGTTGGCCGATGGACTCAGTAGCAATGGCGAGGCAGGAAGGGATCAGCGCTGGAGGATAGCAGTCTATGGAGATATGGAGAGCGCTGAACACGGAAAGACTAGAATATTGGTCTACATTGACAGACTAGTACGTTTATGTGTCTTAATCAAAGTGACACTGTATACTGACTTTTTTTGGTTCAGCTTGGTCGTGTAGCTGATGTAGCATCTCTCGAGCTTTCCCTTCACACTGTCATATGTGGACGATCCCGAAAGAACATCAAGATGATCGAGTCCTCTACTAACACGGCTATCTATTTTCCACCTCCCTTCTCACAGGTTTACAAGTACTGCCCAGAGGGTGCTCAGCGACGAAATCCCGAGGAGATTTTCATTACTGGTGACCGAGCTGAAAACATAGCCGCAGCTAAAAGCAGAATTCACGAGCTTGTTAGAATGACGAGGCTCTTCATGAAGGATGCCCATGTGACTGCCGCCAAGATCGACAGCATTCTCTTGACTAGAATGGACAAGGTTCGTAAAATTATGGAGACAAACGGAACATTTATCCAGTTCCCAGCTCTTGCTTCTCAACGTAGCATGATCAGAATCCAAGGGATTGAAGGCCTCCACGTGGAACGAACAGTCCGGGAGCTCATGCTGATGGTAAGTAAGACAACTCCGTTGTCCCTCGCTATGGCTAACAAACTTGCAGGGAGTACAATTTTACAGCGCGTCGTGGTGGATCCAACAGCCACCAAATCAGCCACCTCTACAACCAGCTCCACCTCAGTTACGAGCAATGTTGGTAGATATCTGTTCATATTCTTCAGCAGATGTGACATATGATAAACTACAATGGACAATTACTGGTTCTGACGAAGCTGTCAAAGATGCATTGACTATCATCAGCAATATCCCTTTGAACAAGCGAGGATTCGCCTATCAAATTCGAGTCAAGCTTGAGCTAGCAAATGAGCACAAGGAGTTTGTTAGTGGCAAGAAGAATGGAAAGATTAACAAGATCATGGGCCAAAGTAAGTGTTTCGAAGCTTTATTACATTTGATTTACTAATTACGTTGTTTAGGTAATGTCCAAATTATATTTGACGGATTCAATGAGTACAACTTCAACATTGATGTTTGCGGAAACAACTACGATCAAATGGTTACCGGTCTTAATCTCGTCGAGCAAGAGATGCCAGCCCAAATATCTTTCCATGTTCCTGATCAATACCACAAGCGCATTATCGGCATTGGTGGTCAACACATCCAAAGAATCATGAAGAAGCATTCAGTTTTCGTTAAATTCTCCAATGTCATGGATCGTGGCGGACCCAATCGTGAGGATGATGATATCAAGGCCGACAATGTTATCTGCCGAACTCCAGCTCGTAATGCTCAAAACCTAGAGCTTGTGAAAGCCGAAATTCTCGATATGGTCGATCGGGTTGATTCAGAATTCACTTCTCAGACTGTCAATGTTGACCGATTGTACCATCGAGAACTTCTGACTCGTCTTGACCAAATTGAGGACTTGGAGAAGAAATGGAACTGTAAAGTTCTCTTCCCAAGTACCGAGCAAGCTAGTGATGATGTCACAATCTCAGGACCAGAATGGCAAGTACCACATTGTGTTGATGAGTTCCTTGGCATGGTTCCAGATAGTCATGAGCTTGTTTTGGCTCGCACTCCGGAGCTCTTGAAATTTTTAAACTCCACCGAATTCAAAACAGAGATGGTACCAAAGCTCAAGTCCCAATATGTGGTCGAAGTCCAAGTCGATGAAAATTCCTCTGAGCTTACCGAGGATAGTAAACCAACAGTCATCCTTCTCTGGACTTTCACCAGAAACAATGCAGGCGGAGTTCGAGATGCAATCGAATTCTTGTTCTCCAACATTGCCGCAGCCGGTATTGAAGTTACCACTGTCAAGGGAACAATTCCTCGTCCCAAGTCCGACTCCTTCGAGGAATCCTTACCATTTTTCAATTCTAAACTCTTGCAGCACGCTCCTGCACCAATGGCAACTGATTCACCAACCAAGTCTTCGTTTGGTGATGATGTTGCAAGGGAAAGGAGCAACATTTTTGATAAGCTTCGCAAGCCTGGTAGCATGTCATCAATTTCTTCATTCTTGAATGGCCGCAAGAATAGCTCCCAATCTCCCGCCGGTTCTTTCTTCAGGAACGGGTCTCGTAATGCATCAAGGACATCTTTGATTTCCATCGAGTCTACACGAAGCTTCAACGCAGACCGTAATCCATGGAACGATAGTGGTGTCAACTTGCCGGACGATGACACCACACCATGGCCAACTCGCCAATTTGGAACTGGCAGTGGCAGTAGCCACGATAACAAGCACCCACACGGGCATCCGGGCGATGCAACACCAAGACATAGCATGAGAGCTTCGACCGATAGCGGTCGCCCTTCAACTTCTAATTCTACAAACTCAGGATACCCCGGTCCAATTGGACCACCGCGTTCTTAAGATATCCACAAAACTATTCCCTTATTTCCTAGATTGTCTTTAAGTATGTCAATTTCGACGTACACAATGGCTGGATATATACCCTGGCGCGCAATACCCCAAATACCACTTTTTTTTTTGGCTGCTTTGATTGTTTTTCATCTCTCCTTATTCCAGTTTGATCTTTCTCTCTTTCTTTTCTGGGCTGTTTTGTTATTTGTGTTGTTTGCGTTTACCGTGCTCCAACTTTTTTGAGGTGAAGAGAAAAAGCATGCGGGCGCTCTCAGAGACGAACAGAAGACAAGACATTTAGAAGATCTTTCTTGCGTGCTTGACTATTCATGGGAATATTAAGAGGAAATACCTATTTGCTTTTAGGGGCGTGGGATTGATTTTTTACTTTTCGTTTTGCTTGCTACAATATCCTCTCGACTTTGGTTGTTTTTCGCGTGCGATGTGCTTGGTAGGGGTTAACAAACAGGTAAATGGGTGCATGGGACTGTGAATTGGAAGATGGTTTGTGATGAGGGGGTGAGAGATGAGGGACGAGGGACGAGGGATGAGGGATGATTTTCACACTCTTTTTGTTTTAACTTTGGATGGAGGTATGGGAAAGGAAGAAGGAAAGGATATGAGGGTGGTGGCTTCAGTGACATCGGAAAGCGGTTTGGTGGGTCCGCGATTCTGCTACAAACAGACAGCGCGAGGTTCCAATTTGGGGAATCTGGTATGGATCGACGGTTTGGGCATCAGAATCATTCGTTATATGTATTTTGTGGGTGTATGTTATGATACCCTAGAGATGAGTCGTTGTACGTTGAGAAATTGAAAAGTTTGCGAGAATTGGAGTTGTTTTGGATAGTTATGATGTGATGTGATATGATCTCTGGGATAGGAGCTGCTGTGAATCAAAAGTACCACAATCTAACCTACAATATGCTGCAGGTGTCATTGTGTACCTGACAATTATGCATATCGAAATGTTTACATGTCTAGATGTCTAGGTGGTTCTAGTTCGAATGATCTAGACTTACTGGGTGGTGGAGTGGAGTTCGAAGTGGATTATGGATGAGAGGTGGGGAGTGGAGAATGGAGAATGGAGAATGCAGAATGGGGTTTGGAAGGTGGAAGTGGGGAGGTGGTGGTTTGGTGGTGCGGTGGTGAGGGAAGATGATAGGGGAGGGGAGAAGAGGAGAGCATGGGGTCAATAAGGAGGGAAGGGTATGTGAGGATATGCTATGCTATGGCATGATATCATGATATAGTTTTCCGGTAGCTTCGGTGGTCATAAGGCGTTGCATGACTGGGGTTTGTGTAACAGATAGATAGATTACAATAGATTCTGCGTGGTTGTGTAATATACTCATATACTCACTCTAGTAAGTACCTAGCTTGGAATTTTTGGATGTGGGAATGATCTTTTGGATGGATGGATTAAACGGGATTGTTGGATTTCTTTGAAGAGATGATATGACGGGGGTTGTAGGTAGAGAGATGACCTGTATATTCTGGAGGTTACTCACCTAGCTATGGTACTCGTGAATGAGAGAGTAGATTAGAATAATGGTGAATGTTGATATGATGTTTTTCGTGTGTGTAGAGAAAGTGCCGGTTTCGAAACTTTTAGAAGGCAAGATGTTAGGTAGATGTGACAAGTTGTCTGAGAATAAGGCGGATTTCTACATATCTATTTATCTACCTATAGGTGACTGAGGAATGAGATGGTTATACCTCCCTACTACCCGCTGCCTACTTATCTAGTAGGTACCACATCATACACGAGTAGTACAGCAGACAACAGTGATACATAAATGAGTGCGATGACTAAGCATGACGTCTGCGCCGCGCTGTGTCAAATTATTTATCATTTTGGTGCGGCTTAAAGGTCATTTCAACGCTAACCAAGATGAGTACTGACTAGCGTGATTAATCCCTGAGCTTCCCTCTATCTATCTATATCTGTCGATCTCTCGTAATGATAATAAATAATTCCACCTCCACCCATTAATCCCACACAATCATCAATTCAATTCGATTTTGAAGATTTGTACCATCTTACTTATTTCTTCAATTGCAATTGTCTTTTGATTACTTCTGCATTTGAAATATTCTTGAAAGTTCTCGAGCTTTTTTTATTCTTCGATTTTGCGACGCATCTTTTGAAGCATTTCCATCTGCGCATTTCAATACAAAGATTCAACAATACAATACCACCTTACCCTTACAACAAAACAATTAATCGTACAAGATACTCGGTCTAACAATGGCCAGCCGGAAGACTAAAGCTGCAGCTGCAGTTACATCTCCCGCCAATGTTGGCGTAAAACGAACCACTGCGCCTCGCACATCTGCTACTACAGCACCAAAACCATCAAAATTAACTAAGAAACCAGCTACAAAAGTAGCCACCAAAGCTGCCGCTGCTAAGATTGCAAAGGCTACAAAGGCTGCTGCTGCTAAACCTGCTCCCAAAAAGACTGTCAAGAAGCCAGCTCCTAAAAAATCAAAGGTCGCGCCTAAGCCAGCTCCTGAAGAGGATGCTGAGATGGAGGAGGAGGAGGAAGATGTTGAGACTGCTACAAGTGACAAAGAGGAAACACCAGGTAAGCTTTTCTCTTAACACAATCAGCATAATATTAGGAACGCTTCTGACATTTATCTACAGCACCAAAACCTGCCGTCAGCAGAAAGAGAAGTCGCACTCAAGAATCGGAGGCCTTACCTGTTGCAAAGAAGCTCAAGATCGGCCCTAGCATCAACACTCCACCTACTCAGCGACTTGACGTTTATGTTTTCGGAGCCGGAGAAAATAATGAATTGGGTTTGGGTGCAGCTAAGATCGATGGCAAACCACCCATGAATGTCAAGCGACCACGTTATAACCCCCTTCTCAAAGGCGTCACCCAAGTTGCTGTCGGCGGTATGCACTGCGTCGCATTGACTGATGACCAAAGAATCCTGACATGGGGAGTGTCTGATGGAGGATCTTTGGGTCGTGATACTAGCTCTTATGAAGCACCTGCCAAAGACATGGATGCAGATTCTGTGGATGAGGACGACGATGATGTCGTTCTCAACCCAGTTGAGAGTACCCCAACGGCTATCTCTACTGATTTCCTCGGTGGAAGAAAGGTTGCTCAAGTAATCGCCAGTGACTCTGCTAGCTTCGTGCTCACTGAAGATGGTTATGTATACGGATGGGGTTCATTTATTGTAAGTTATCTTTCCACGCTCTTGATTATTGAATTCGACTAACAATTAAAGGGAAATGATGGTATCATCGGTTTCACTGCCGAAGGCGCGTCAATGGCGGCCAAAGAACGCGACGGTGATCTCAAGAAGAAGCTCCAGATCCAGGTAGAGCCCATGCTCATTCCTGGATTGAAGAACATCAAGTCACTAGCTCGTGGTGGTAACCATGTCATGGCACTTGATAACAAGGGAACCGTTTTCACTTGGGGAGCTCACGAACAAAACCAGCTCGGTAGACGAGTCAACAACCGTTTCAAATTCGCTGCACTTACTCCAACACCAGTTTTGAAGAAGTGCAAGTCGATTGCTGGAGGTACCTATCATTCCTTCGCCATTAACACCAAAGGCCAAGTCCTCGCATGGGGTTTGAACAATTTCGGCCAGACCGGTATTGTCTCAAATGCTGGTGAAGATGGTGCAATCATCAGTAACCCAACTGTTGTTGAGGCTTTTGAGGGATTTGATATCAAACAAATTAAAGGATGTCAGCATCACTCGATTGCTTGTACTGAGAAGCAGGAGGTCTTGGTTGTTGGGAGATGCGATGAAGGTCAATCTGGCCTTGATATTTCTAGCGTTGACCAGGATATTCTCATTCTTAGCCCTACCACCTCTAAGCCAAGTATCCTCAAGGTTCCAACCGTTGTTCCAAGTATCAAAGCCACTTTTGTAGCTGGTGCAATCGACAACAACATTGTTCTGACAGAAGACGGCAAAGTGTGGACATGGGGATATGGTGAGAACTACAGGACTGGTCTAGGCAGTGACGATACCACCAGGACACCTACCCTCATCGAAAACTCTGCGATAAAGGGCAAGAAGATCACCTTTGCTGGCTGTGGAGGCCAATTTGGTGTCATTGCTGGACCTGAGGTCACAACGAGCAGCGACAACTAGGCCAAGGAGGGCGTGGGGACGGGATGAGTGAAGGATTGTTTTCTGTATTATGATAACGACTTATGTTTGTGAACGAACGAATACCATGCTGCATTGTTGGCTTTTGAGGGACAACAGTTTGAATCCTTCTACGCCACAACTAATCCAGCTCGAACTCAGCCTCCCAAAATATATTTGACATCGAAAATACACCTACTCTGGTTTTGAGAGACTGACCTTGATGAGTCTCTGGTTTTCACCTAGGACTTTGATCCGGATTCTTCAAGGCATGTTTTCTCATCTCCAAAGTAGGTGTATTTAGATATTGAATATACAATGGAAGGGTGATAATAGGGAGGGTTAGTAGTGGTGTAGAGGGAGGAAAGTTGTTGGTCGCCTGTTTAATAGGTTTTAGATGGCGTTTTCTTCTTTTGGTGGTGTTGATTGATTCTTTGAGAAAGCATTGCATATGACAGGATAGATGCATTGGGTGGTTAGATGGGCGTTCTTGATAAAAGTTGGTCTAGACTTAGACTAAATAGATACCACGTTCATTGTAGGATTAGAACGGCATGGTGTATACCTGTGCATAATAAAGAAAGGATTAATAAAAGATCAACGCATGCTTTTTTTTCTGGTGACGTTAAGAGGTGAATTTGATTGAGAAAGGTTTAAGGTAGGAGAATGACAAGGGAGGTATTCGTTGGGAGTTTCAGCATGTAGACATGTATCTACTGGTACAGTTGGTTTAGGGATAAATGAGGAGAAAAGAAATGGTCGTGGTTGACATTTCACGGTTAATAAGAGCAGAATAGGGAGGGGGGCGCTCAACCAAATTTTCAATGTGGTTGAAGAGGAGAAAGCGGATACTCGAAAGGCGCTGTGGGGAGTAGTTGATGGAAATTGATCCGAGGAATGCTGATCAGATCTTATTTTTATCTGGATATTTTTGAAGGGACTTTCAAATGATACTGTGTGCTATTGTCATTGTTGTCGTTCTCACGCTTTGAGTAATCGTATCGTATCGACTAACTAATTTGCAAACTTGAAGGAAGGAAGAAAGAATACACGAAATCAAAAGATGGATGTGAGAGACCAAACTAGCTTCCGAGAATTTCCAATCTTACAGCGATGTCCTTGAGTATAGATATAATGGGTAGTTATCTCACTTTGAGAAACCCTCCTCCCGAGAATAGATAGATAGATAGATAAATAGCTTTCCTCAATACGATATTTCGGAATACCACCCCCCACGTTCCCATTTCGCCATCTCCCTGTCTCGTATCCTTCACTACCAAATCTACCAAACACATCCCCCTCTTTGTTTCGCATCTCGTTTTCCCAATTTCTAATCCCGTGCTCTGCCCTGCTGCTTGCAGCACACACTGTGTTTCCTCGCGCAGAAGCTCAATGACTATATATACGCCTGTTGTGTCTTTGGGTAATCCTCCGGTTTGCCGATCGGAGCAGTGGTATTTGGTGAGGAGGGGGAAGCAGGGTGAGGATGTGAGGGCGGAGAGGTAGGAGGAGGAGGAGGAGGGGGACGGGGAGTAAGAGAGACAGGATTTGTGAGTGGGGAAGTTGAGTGCGTATTCGTAGTTTTGGTTGGGGAGGGTGGATGGTCGCGTGAGGATGCTGATGCTGGTTATGGTTATGGGGGTGGAGGGCCAGATGGGTGCGGCGAGGGTGAGGGGGAAAAGTGATGAGATGATGAGTGGGAGGAGTGGGTTTGGGAGGGAGAGAATGTGCATTTTTTGGGCGGGGTTGATAAGATGGCGGTGGTGTGGTTGAGAGGGTGGTGTTTGGGATGGTTGTGGTGAGCTTGGTAGATACGGAAGAGATGAATGGACGACTGTATGGGTCGACAGTGTCGTCAAATTGACTTGATGATAGAACCGAAAGCCTGTAGTTGATTTGAACACCTTCAAACATTCACACAGGAAGGCAGCATAAGAAGGGTTATTCCCAACGGCATTTATTTAGCCAAAGGAACGCCAAGCACACACAGAGGCCTCATTAACTTAATTTAAGCTTAAGCAGTGGATGCGCTCCAACCTCGATTGCTAGCCCCGCAGTAAGGGCTGACTGACTTCGCCACCTGTTCACTTGGATGCTACTACATTTCGAGATTGTTTGTGTATCAGAGATGCGAAAGAAGCAGAAAAAGCGACAGGAGTTTTCGTCATCATGAATTCAAGCAGCGGCGCCGCACTCGCGGAAATATCTGGACGCATGCTCGATGTCTGGATATCGTGTTTGCTCTGGCAACTATTTTCGGATTTGGGTACGACGTAAATTATAAGAGGAGAGCGATGTTGAATGACGGGATCCCACTTATTATATACGAGGAGCAATATCATCGTGGAAAAGCGGGGTCCAGTAAGCGCCGCGAGTTGTCGTAACGAGCTGGTGGGGTGAGGATGGGCGAAACGACGAGGTGGAATTGATGATCTACGTGAACGGGGTCTGATATAGGGCCAGAAACATAAGCATAAGTAAGTAGTAGAAAAGCTAGAGTCTAGAGATGATTTTTGCCGCTGACTAATTGGGAAAGAATATAGATACTGTGTCTTGCTTATTCTCATGTAAGAATTTACTATTAGGGGATCACTAGATCTTATGATATAATGGCCGTGGAAACATCAGTATCTAATTATCTAGCTGGGAGTCTTACGAATTTGAGAATTATCTATTGATCAAGTCGTTCCACCTCACTATACCCCAACTTTTGCATCTGTTCTCTAAAAAGAGCGGCTTCCTGGTTCATCACCTCCTTACTACACCATCAAAAATGAATCAGTAACTCACAATCCAAACACTTGAATCTAAAGCCAAGAACACTCATTCAAGAAAAAGACCATTTGAAACAAATTGAAGACTCACCTTCTCGGCAACCTATCCCCCTCATCCACCTTTGGGAATTTTCCTTTCTGCGCCGGTCTCTCCCCCAGCTGCGCGTCTCTATCCCAAAGCCCCCCTCCCACATTCCCCTCCTCTCCCTGCAACTTATCATAAATCCCGTCCCCAATCGACGCGCTCTCCTTCGTTCGCGGTATGACATGACAGTGAAAATGCGGGACCGTTTGTCCGCTCTCCGGCCCATCCTGGATCGCTATATTAAACGATCCCTCTGTGAGATTTTGACCTGCGAAGTACTGCGACGCGAGCATCCTCTGCACTTTCTGCGTCGTGGAAAAGATATCGTCGAGCTCTGCACGTGAGAGATCGGTCATGCGGGCATGGTGCTGGTAAGGGATTACGAGCACGTGGCCCGGGAGAATGGGCTTGATGTTTACGAGACAGTAGCAGTGGGTTGATTTGTGGAAGACCTAGGATGGGGGTTAGGAGTCCTGGAATTGTGCATGGGGATTTGAGTCTTGCTCTTGCATCCGACTTGCCTGATCCGTGACTTCGAATTTCCCAAAGTGGATGAGGGGTTTGGGGGGACCGTGGGAAGTCATGCTGCGGGATTGAAAATTGCGCAATGGAAATACTGGGAGTCGTATTCGTTGGGATACTGGGCGTATGATCATATCCTGAGTATCATAGAATTGGATATAAAAGGGGGTTGATTTATCTGACTTGTGTGATGGCTTGATATGCGAAGGAAAGGAGAGCTCTCTGTTTGGTGCTTAGTCATCGTGAATGATGGCTCACTAGTGGGTGCATAGACTAATAGGACGATTCTCAACTTTTAAATTTAAAAATAAGTTCGTTCTTCATTTGTCCGCCATCGGAATTCTGTTTGACATTATTCAATCTTTAAGCAAGTGTCACAACAATTCCTCAAGATACCCGTGTTCTGTCAGTTCATACACCCACTAGTGGCAGGGCTGATCTTCTGCAGCTACAGAATTCTAACCTCTTCACAACATCAATATCAACAGCAGCATCGACATCAAGTTTGGAAATATCGATACATTGGGCAAGCGCTTTTTGGATCACTTGAAATTTCCCATAGAATATGAAGAATATGGCTAGTTGCCTACGCACACAAATTCGGCGAGGAAGGTTCCTTGCGGAAAGCCTTGATCAGTAGAAAGGGGCTACATGTAACTTGATAGTAACTCGCAACGCATGCTGGAGTCTGCATGCTTTTTAAACTGAAGCTCTCAGTCCAGTGTATTTCTTCATTAGTTGTGAGTTTTCTGCACTGGAAAATGGACCACCAGGATCTTATACACACTTTCCAGTTACTCAAGAGACCTACATCGCTGTCCACTTATTGCGGAGGTTTCATATGGATTTATAAGGCTCCTGCTGTTCACATCAGCGATTTCAATGGAGAGACCAACAATGATTATATTTACACCTATAGACCCATGGTGAGAGTATTGTAGATTTATAATTATCTCCAACCATTTCTAAGAGCGCAGATCGTGAGACCTAAGTCTTGATTGTGTAATCAACCACGGAGTTATCCACAAGAAAGCCAGAAAACCTTCTCTAGCTCAACGGAGGGTTTATGTTTCTTGGCAACGGGGAATACGGAAGGTTCGTCACTACCCGTCGTCCGAGCTCGTCGGTAGTTGATGAGGGGCCCCAGAAGATAGTCTCCATATGAGATCACAATGACTACAATGACTACAATGACATTGTTGTATAGATAGAATGAGCTTGCCTTATTTTTCCTTGTCAGATCTTATTCAGGACAACCTGTTTACACATTGAATACTAAAAAGCAACTCAATTCATTAACATGACTCAACCAATCACTCTTTACAGCCATAGTAAGTCGAAGCTCATTAGATACAAAGAGCGAAAACAATACTGAGGCCAAGATAGTAACCGGACCAAACCCATGGAAGGTGGCCATCATTCTGGAAGAACTCAAGATCCCATACACCACCGAATACCTAGGTACGTAAAACATTTCTTCCCTCCTCCCTACCTCCTCACCCCTCATCTCATCAACCCCAGCCCCCCAACCCACCAACTAAACCCGCCTCAGAAATGACCGACCTCAAAAAACCCCCCTTCGAATCCCTCAACCCCAACGGCCGCGTCCCCGCAATCACCGACCCCAACACCTCCCCCACCCTCTGAAAATCTGGCGCCATCATCGAATACCTCATCGACACCTACGACCACTCCGCCCTGCTATCCTACACCACCTTCCCCGAACGCTACCACGCAAAACAATGGTTGCATTTCCAAATATCCGGCCAAGGACCCTACTACGGCCAAGCCGTCTAGTTTGCCAAATACCACAGCGAGAAGCTGGAGAGCGCCACCGAGCGCTATTTCAATCAGATCAAACGAGTTTTGTACGTATTGGACAAACATCTGCATGGACGAGAATGGTTGATCGGTGATAAATGCATAATGCGGACTTGGCGTTTATTCCGTGGGACATGGGGATCCCGTGGATTTTTGGCGATCGCGTGGGAGAATTGCAGATGGAGAGGGATTTTCCGCATTTCTGGAAGTGGCATACGAAAATGATGGAGAGGTCTTCTGTGAAGAAGATTATTAAGGATAAGGAGGATGCTTTGAGGAAGAAGGAGGCTGCTGAGAGTGCCTAATGGGCGCTTTGGGGGAATTGAAGTCATGCATTGGATTAAGATAGTATGTTTATAAATGAGAGAATTGAAATGAATGGGAATGCTCAATGTTATCAAATTTTTTTCACTATTTCTGTACAGAAACTTGAGAGTAGATTGTTCGAGTGCTAGACTGTGAGCATATAATTGAAAACTAATTCTGAATACGAGACGAGAGAGGTACTCAAATACACTTCCAGTTCAAACTCATGCAAATATATAACGTGCACTTTATTTTTTCTTCCACACACTCTTGCTTGTAATACCATACCATTTCCGGAGGAGAGTCGTGCTATCACATCACATCATGAGATGAGAGTAGGTTTAAAGAGACTGTAATGATATTCTAAGCTAAAACGAATCATAACAGCCCTCCAATATCATTCGTACCCCTTTCAAAAAATCATCCAATTAAAACAATTCTCAATCTGTAGAAACGAGCCGTAGAGAAAGGAAGTAAAGGAAGAACTCATAAAAAGCCCTTCTTCGCGGCTCCTCGTGCGAAAGCAGGAGTACGTAAACGATTGTTATGTTGATGCGCAATATTCAAAACTATAAATATGGGCACTGGCCAACTTCTATATTATCATGAGGCCCCATTCGTAATCTCTGGAATCTGAATGATTCGCATTGCTTCTACAAGATGAAGGTTGATTCACCAAAGAGTGTGCCTTGCTCCTCCACAGCTGTCTCGCCATCCTTAATCTTAAGGACGAGGGAGTCAGTTGGAGGGATAGCCCACTAAGAAGATGTTAATATTGATAAAGTAAAATGCTGCCGGATAGCTTACCTGGTAACAGAAAGGTCTGGTTCCCACAACTCCTCCAACAACCGATTTGATAAAGCTGGGAATGTGGGATAGAATATCAACTCTGTCGGTCCTTTCTCCGAGCGGTCCACTGAGGACTGCAGAGAATTCACCAGATTTGCTCTTGCCTTCCCATTTATACTCAGCTGAGATAGGTTCGGGCCACATAGTCTCCGGGTCTTCCTTCGACTCAGTATGCCTTACAGTGTTGGTAGCACCGGCGTACACGATCTCGCCGTCCTTTACAATACCTCCAACATTCACAGAGGTGTGGCCGTAAGAAGCAGGGGTTGTGAACTCCATCATGATAGCGGAGTAGGTAGGTGTTTGGAAAGTTACAAAATTCCATTTTGCTGCAGCATGATGAGGCTTCATGCCTTGAATGGCGTGAATGAAAATTCCGCGTCCTTTGAAGTCGTAGTTCTTCTCGGGTGTGGTGATTGTACCGGTGACGGTGCAACGAGGCCAGAATCGATGTCTCATCTCTCCCCATGGTGCGGCGGGATCAGTACCGTAGTAGGTGGTTCCATTCTCTCCCACCTGGAAGCCAGGGGCTGCGCGTTTGAATACAAGGTTAACGAGTCCAGACTCATTACGAGCCGCTTTGATGGTATATTCGTCACCAGCTTCGTTCAAAGCGATGGAAAGGCCGTCGGCGTAGAACGAAACCATTTCCTCGTCAAAGCCATAGTTTTCGAGTGCATCTGAAAGCCAAAGATGGTCAGATTGTTTTGGACCTTTGTGGTTGAATACTTTGACATTCAGTTGACAAGTTGTTCGAAGCCCGCTGCATCTGGCGTTAGTGTAATGTTACCTTGACGCGTGATGCATCTTATAAGTGCATGGGTCAAACATACGCCACATTGTTGTAAATCATCTGAACAGATGCGACTTTACCCTCATCTGAGATCATATAGAAGGTCTGAGTCTCTACATTTGTGCTCTCTTGAGCCTTCCATTTCAAATCGGTCTTCGTCAACTCGGTGTAGGGAGTTTTCTCGGCCTGAGCTGTTACCGTGCGAATACCTGCAGAACCATACTCTGGTTCCTCAGTTCCCACGACATTTGCGAGTCTGTGAAATTTAGCAGGTGATTTAATCAAAATTAGGGAGAGGCACACGTCTGTTTAAACCAATTCATTGTGTTTTGGGTTGTCAAGGATGTCTCTTTTGGTGGTGTTTAGGATGTTTTAATTAAGAGGAAATCCTTCTCCGAGGTCCACGGTGACACATGATATGGGAACTAAGAAATAAGGTTATAAGCTTACCTAAGCGAAGGTCCTTTCCATAAACGGCTCGGATCGATCATGCCACACCGCCTGCTGCATTTGATCGACAACTTCACTTCACTTTAGGAACATCAGAGGAAGAAAAGCATACTCTGAAGATCGACATTCTTTTTTAATACCAGACTGTGCGCCGTGGACAATTATACACTTCATTATAGGTATGTCTGATTCAATACTACATACCCAATTCATTAAGCAAACAGTCAATCCATCTACTAGACAGAAAAAAACATCAAGGAAAGGAGAGCATATTCATTAAACATTTATATTCATCAATACGAGCACTTATGGATATATGCAAACTTAACCAACCTCGATAAGGGAACAACCAAACCAAATTTACCGCTGATCAGCGATTCTGTTCATGTAGTCCAAATATCTTTCCTGACTCCATGTCCAATCTAGTATTTATGCAGAATCGTAACTACACATCGTCCCTCCTCTCCACTTAACTTCATTTGTCGAATCATTTCGCCCTAGCACCCGAACTTTGTCCATTATTTTCACCTGCCGGCTTTCTTTCCCACAACCGCATCTCTTCTGAACGTTCCCTCTCCCACAAATTCAACTCTCGTCTCGTCTTCTTGTCTTTGAAAATGGGGCTCTGCCCTGTCTCTTCTTGACGATTGAGCGCTTCGATCTCAATTTTTAAATCCTCCAACACATCTATATGAGCGAGCAAATCTCTTCTAGCCTGAAAGACATCTTGAGGCGCAGTCTCGTGATTCCACTTGCTTTCGATCTCAGCTCGATGTCTGGTTGCATCGGCAATACGAGCATTGAGATAGTTGATATGCGAAGCGTTATCAGTGGTGTGAGGAGCAAGAAGAGACCCTTCCATCTTTTCATCGCTAGGAGTCTTGGTAACCATGATTCCCGGTCCTTCTTTCCATTGTCGCAATAAATGCTCGCCAATCGTAGTATATCGAAGTGCCTTCTTGGAAAGATCACCAGTTTTGATCGGAGTCTCCATCCCTTCTTTGATAATCGCCTTCCAATTATCCAGCTCTCGGTCAATCCGATCACAATCTTTCTTGTAGTCATCTTGTACGCTGTATCCCTTTATCAATATGCGCTTTTGTTCATCCCAATACCACCCACAGATATTCATCCCCTTCGCCATGAACTGCCATGATGAATTCACAAAGTGCAGTGTGTTTTCTGCAGCAATGTTCTGTTTTATAGAATGCTCCTTTAACATAGAGAGTCTATCAGATATTTCGTCATAGAATGGACCCATCGAACGCTCGCGGATTGTTCCATTGCTCACAATACATCTCACTTGCTGAGGCCATTCATATTTTGGTTTCTCGAACTCGTTGCTCCTGTGGTACCATTTAAAATCCATTGGCTTCGTACGCTTCAATCGAACGAAACTGGTGCATGCAGACTCATCGTTCGGGTCGTCGCTTACAAGTCCGTTAATGCCACAACTCTGCAATGGTCGCTGTCGTGGTGGTAGGGTGGCTATGCTAGCATCAGCTCCTAGCCAATTCCGGTCCGGGCCTTGCCAATCGATAGGATCGAAGTGTTGTCGTACAACTTTTTCAACCGCTCTTCGCACAATCTTGTCAGGCAGTGAGTGAGGCTCCGATGACTCGGCACCGCCCTCCGCTTCCTGGGAATCTTCAACCGCCTTCTCTATATCCCGAAACGCATTCTCTATCTCACTCTCCATATCCTTGCGTAAATTCTCATACTCCCTCAATAACTTGAACGTACTAACCCCTCTCTTCTCCTGCGCCACGACCACATCTTTTCCCTTCCTTAGAATTTTGTTCACCTTTTCCTTATCCTTGTCCATCCCCAAACTATACAACCATCGCTTCGCCCCTGTCTTCTCCCACTCCCCTCTTACTTCATGAGCCCGCATATCGACCCCAGAAGCTTGAAACGCATCTCGCATCCGCATCGCGTACATTCCAACAAAACTCGTCGCGCATCGTTCTCCACACGTCGTGATCGTAAATAGAAGATCACTAGGAAGCGGAATCACACCAGGTGGTAGATAACTATGACCAAGAGGATAAGTCGCATTCTTCTCTTCATAGACACCTATGCTAGATAAAGGGGAAGAAAACATGGCATCTCTCTCAATTTGCGACATCGCCGATCCTGCAGAGGCATCGCTCTGGTGCGTTCTTGCATAGTTCACCATATACGCAGCGGACTGCGGATCTTGAGTTGCCTCAAAAGTCATCAACTCTACTTTCTCTTCGAATGTATATGGCCCGGCGGCGATTGCCTCCATCTTCTTTCTTGTTTCCTTGTTCACTTCCATAGGAAAAGGGAGCAAAGGGGGAGGAGAAGTAAAAGCAGAAGGAGCAATCGGCTTTCTCGGAGGACGTCTCGCAGACTTAGCAGGTATGGTCAATGGAGCAGGTATTAAATCTTCATTCTCAATCGTTCTCGAAGAAGGTCCTTCTATGATACCTAGCGCCAGAGCATATTCATAACATGGGTATAATGCTCCGCCAGGTGTTTGAGGAGGAAAGTATCCGCCGCCGAAAGCTGCAAATGTCGCACAGCCTCTGCAATTTGCAGGACATCGTTGAACGGGTATAGAGGGTTTGGATAGCGACATTGTGGGTGGCGATTATTTGCTCGTTTGTTTGAGATAAATGATGGTGTTGTTTATTATTGAATTCGATGGGCGTTGATAAAGCTAGATGTGAAATTGTTGATGGTGCGCTTTTGTGTGTGTAAATGATCTGTCGAGAGATGATTCTCTGTACTGTCAGAAGTTTTGGAAATCAAGCAAGTCAGTTATCGCAAGGCTATTCAATACTTTATTTAGAAATCAACGGTAGAAAGTGAACTTTAGACGAGAAGGTGAAGTGAATTCTTCACTACGGCGTTTCTCGCGTTGCCGGTGAATACGAGCCGACGTGAAGTTTTGAGCTGTGAAGCATGCCGTCATATTTACCAAAAACCCCAAACAAAGCCGAATGAACTGACAAACTAAGCCTTCAGTTCAAAACTCGTCTTCGAGTACTTCGAATATGAGCTTTGTTAGCTCTTGAATATCCATAATTCGAGACAGAGCCAGCTATAACCACTGTAACCAGTGTCTTCTCGTCACATCACGCAGGAGGAAAAAAGAGCCACCCAATACCAAATCCACGTACGTCACAAAGAATTTTACTGACAGTGGGTACATCAGGAGTTTTTATTCTATTCCGCTATATGTGGTTAATCAATTGATCCATCCTAGGGATCCAATCCAGGAGATAACTTCCCGGTACCATACGCAACGCTCAAACTACCAACAAACATTTCCTTCCAAAACATGAACCGCCCAAATCACTGGCGAATGATGATGAAGGTACAAATGATCCAAAGTACAAAGAAGGGGGGGATCTAGAAGACCACCCAAACTTCTTTCAAATATTTAATTTCTTGACACCCCTTTGCACCTTCAGCACCGAAAAGAGATTCCTCCATGGAAATTCATTAGACAAGACCATCATAGAGCGAAAGTGCAGACACAATCGTCTCATCACGTTTACTTCCTTCTTTGAATTCTTCCATATCCAGACTGCCGTTCTCATCCTTGTCCATCATACGGAAGATCTTCTTGACCCGCTTTTCAGGGGTATCCTCATCAGGTGGAAGTTTGACCATTGAGCCAACCTACAGAAGTGTTGATCAGTACTTGTACATTCCAGGTAACGTAAGAGACAAAGATACTCAAAATGAGCTCCTTTAAAAGTAGGAAAATCATCTGGACGATTAGGTAATAGACGAAAGTCCGACTCATGAGGAACATCATTGCCAGAGCATCTTACTCGACAAATCTTGCAAAATACCACTGTTCCATGACCAATGCAAATATAGACCTCAATATGTCCACGTGACCATACGGGTAGGAGTTGAGAGGTACTCACCATCTTGTAAATTGCCTCTACAATCGCTAACATCTCTTCATAACTTATCTTTCCATCTCCATCAATGTCATAAAGCTGAAACGCCCAGTCTAATTTGTCCTCCATCTTTCCTCGACTGGTCACACTGAGGGCGCAAATAAACTCTTTGAAATCAATTGAGCCTGACTTGTCGCTATCGAAGACATTGAACACGTAGTCGGCAAATGACGATGGGTCTCCGAATGGAAAGAATTGTCGGTAGATCTTTTGGAATTCCTCCTTAGTGAGCATCCCAGAAGGGCAGTCCTTCAAGAAACCTAGAAAGACCACATTATTAGGTGGTCATTCAATGAGACCGACTATGTTTTTTGCACACCTTTATACCATTGTTGCAATTCCTTCTTATCAAAGTGAGTAGATTTCTGGAGTTCGGTGATTTGCTCCGCGGAGAGCTTCGATTGACTAGGGTTAGAAAGTCAGTCTATCTGCCAGTGCGCAAAATAGATTATATGAAATATCCTGCATGTTCCTGAATCAAGTAGGTGCAAGCGATTCAGCCATTTGCGCATAATTCGACGTCATGGTGATTGATATTCTCCTCGTCCATCGTACACCTAACCGAATCGCTCTATGCTAGACCTTGAAGTCGCTGATCTTGTATATTCATCGAGCGATAAGATTCGGACTTTGTAACGACTTCCGGAAATGCGGTGCACACTGACGAGATCGGTGCATTGGCCTCGTGGCTTTTGGCGGTATTCATGTTGTGCAAGTTGCGCTGGAAGTCTCGGGAGCGTAGAGAGAAATATGGTACTCACGATTTACCCATCTTCTAAGTATTAAATATATTGATTCGGACTGTCAGTGAAAATTCGGATCTGGCGCAAGTAAGAGCGCGGCTCTTAAGGAAGGTTGTGAAAGTCCGAGTATTGACTGCTGAATGGAACATACTGATGTCAGCGATTTGGCTTCAAGCAGTCAAGGAGAACAACTCCGCGCCTCCTAATGGGGGCCTGGATGTTCGGTCGACATACCTTTGGTTGAATGTATCGGTGTGCGGGAGAACTTCTGAAATTTGAGAATCGCAAGTAGAGAGAGATGATGTTGTAAAGTGTTGGTGGTTGCGAGTTGTGGTTCTAATAGATTTGTAGAAACTCCGTGGGGTAGGTGGAATTGGCCTAGATGACTGAATGAATGGCCTTGCTTGATTGACTAGGTGGGTCTTCGTTTTCGGTGTTGAGTACGAGGTGAGTAGTTGAATTATATTTATTTACTTGAGACTTTCGCACATATTAAATCAAGGAAGATATCTGAACCGAAAGTGTCGAAATCAAAGAAGTTATGTCGCCAGTGAGTTTTGAGAATTTGGGAGTTTGGGAGTTTGAAGTGAGGCGGCGATCATTTGATTATTTTGCAGGTAATGAATGAGTTTAGGTATTAGGCTATCACGATTGCTATGAGGGGCTCACTGGGGCTGTGCATTATTCGCTTGGAACTTTGTTACAGCAGCAATCGATACCAACCACATCCATAAGTACAGTAGAGTACGAAGTACATAGGTAGTGGAGGTACGAGGTACGTACCTAGTACTTATATCAGTGAGTACCGGTAGTTCTATCAAAACACGAATCGTTTGGTTGTTAAAGTTGAGTCGTGATATCGAATAATTACATTGATTGAGAGATTCTTCTGAACTGACACATTTGTAATCACTGATATTCGAGTACCTTTGGCAATTATTGAGTTCCCCTAGTTGGTGACTTATTAGGTAGGTAGGTAAGTACCTAGTAGTTATGCGATTAATAGTAAATGTCGGTTTTTATGTCGTATATCCTCTGGGCAGCTGGGCAGGCTGGCAGGTACAGACCCAAAGCTTTTGCCAAGTGGAAAATCCAGTTTGTTTTGCATGATCTCGTGCTGGCAATTATTATTATTAATCATAGCCGAGCCTCATTATCTCACTATCTCATTGTCCCTCAATTCTCTATCAAATTCAAATTTGGAAAGATCAACAGGATGTTCAAGAACGGCTGTAAATGGTAATCGGGTAGGGCTGATGAATGATTTAGTAAGTCTTACCTAGGTAGGTAGGGAAATTACTCTCTAGAAAAGGAAGAATTCATCCTCATTGGCACGTGGCTCCCTCACCAAGATTACCCAGTCCAGTATGGTGTGCGCGGCATAGTAATCTTGGAGCTCAATTACACGATAAACATATTTTATCACATGGTTAAAACAAACATTAACGTCTCTCTCGCCCCTTGTAGGATTGCTTTTCGGTGCATTATCTCTCGCGACAAAGCACAATATACAGCTATTGCACTATTGTCAGCACAAGAGAAGCTACCTAGTAGCTACCTGGGTACCTAGATATTGTGTTTGTACAACATGAAAATCCGCCCACCCCTTGGCAAAAGGAGGCTGAGGTATGGTCCCTCTCGATTTCTATCGAATTTCTAGGCGGCCTTGTGATAATCGCAGAATGAAGTCTCTCACGAGACATTCATTACTCATCATTTTCTAAGACATGCTAGTAACCAAATGTTTGAATGTTTCTTAGGGGCAAAATCCCCGAGTGGTGCTGACAATGCAGGGACGAAACACTGATGCATAAATTGACATCATCATGAGAACAAGTGTTATGGGGAAATGATTTAGGTCTGGGGTTTGTAAACTGATGTTCTTGGCATATCTTAAAAGATTGAATTGTTACTATATCAACGCCGTCGTTACCCTCCTTGCTGTGCCCAAAACGCTGGATTCTTATTTCATTCATCTCGTGATGATTCCGTCATAAATCTGGCTTCTCGAGTCAAGCTGCTCTAATCTTCTCAAATCGTTCAAGCATTCTCTTTGCTGTCGCTTCCTCATCCCAAATATAGGTGACGCTTTTCTCCTGGCTTACGGCATTGGCCCATCTCCAGAAGGCCGGAGCTTTTTCTTCTAAAGTCAAAAGGCTCTTGGGAAGCAAGCCATCATATTTGGTGAAAGCTAAAAGTCGAAGCAGAAATGATCCAACTTGAACCTATAAGGTTCATTAGTATCTGGTGACATCGCCAGAGATATTAGTACTCACTTCTACAAATGTCAGTTTCTCCGAACCTCCAAAAAACGGAGCTGCGTTCTGAACTAAAGGCTCTATCTCCTTCACAATCGCATCTATAGCGTTAGAGGCAGCTTGTTCTCTCTCTTCCGATGATTTCGCTACCCCGGCTTTCATAACATGTGGGGCAACCTTCGAGAAGTAGGTTTCAATGAAGAAGTTGTATCTGGCACGTTGCAATGCACCGCCTTCCTCGCGGCTAGTCTTCTCCAAGTGGGAAGGATGAGAGTCTACCAGGAATTGAGAAATCACTCCAGATTCGGTGATGATCTCTCCATTATAGGAGAGAGCAGGCACGAGACCCCGGGGATTGATGGCCAGATACTCTGGTGTACGTGGAACACTAAGATCGATAATGACAGTTTCAAATTCCAGCCCGAGCTCAGCAAGAGCTATTTGAGAGCGATGGGCCCAAGGACATGCATAGGAAGTATACAGGATTATCTTTGGAGCAGGATGAGAACCCATTTTAAGTTCGACAATTGTTGATTCCCCGTCTGGTGTATCGTGTGTATGAAGGCTTATATGAAAGTCAGGTGGAAGGGCTGGGGTCACGACTAATTCTGCGTCTAAAGATCCTATCGAAAGTGTGAGGGTGGGATGATTGCTTGGAGGAACAAAACGGTGATTAGATTGGGAGATACGAACCTTTTATATGCCACTCTTTCTTCTCAGATTCTTCGGACATGTTATGTTCCGCAGTTTCTCTTTGATAAGGTTTAAGGAAATAGTGCAATTTGATTCGAAATTAAGTAGGGAGGGGTTCATAAATCCCCCTCATTTTGTCAATACTGGGCCAAGTTGCGCAATTGGATTTCTAAGCTTGCGAATGACGGGATAATTACGGTTGTCAAGGAAGACCAGGATAGAAGGGCTGAAAGTACCGAGCCTCCGAACAGGTCAACGTAATGATGAAGGGGTATCAGGATCGTCGTAGAAAGATTGTGCTGTATTAGTAATCCCGTTATACCTGATCAAAACATGCTTCGTGCATTGCAGGTTGAACTTCTAAACATCTTACTTCCATCACTTAACGTTGTTCAAATCTCAACGAAAACAATCACAAGTCAATATTATTAGGAATCTCATGTACCTATGTATCTCATCAACTCGGTGGACATGATATCAGGTATTACAATGGCAACTCCCGACGGTTACTAAGTTGCCGTCTGGCGGTTACCTATCCAGCTACTATCAACTTTTCATTAATTTCCCCTCTTTACCAAGCATTTTATAGAGCTTGATTTCCCAATTCAAATACATACACATGCTCTGTCACTCATTAACTGGTACCTACATCAGACCAGATAAAGCCCGGTGCCATGTTGTCCAGACAAGTTTCCAAGAACCAGATAGCACAGAGCCATCAATGCAATTTCCCGTTAGCCGTGTGATGGCAGCGATACATCGTTACATGATCAAATGCCTTTCTCGTCCTTCTCTGCGTCGTTGTGGGGGTTTATCAAGTGTAACTACCCATGCCTAGGTGCTTGCTGTAGAGGTTATGTGTCGTCACGAATGTGTGAAGTTATTATGAGTGACGGGTACAAAAAATTTCAACGCTTCGGAGATTTCTTTGACAGCTCACTGCATATCTGATTTGCTTTTTGACTCAACCATCTGCCTCGATTTTTGAAAATATTATTTTCAAATTCAGAAGTTTCGTTTGGAAAGAATGGCGTTATCCAAAGCTCAAAGATTGACCGTGGTGATCTGCATATCAACGTCGTTTTTTCTGGCTGAGTTATCAAGTATGTCAACATGAACATTCATCTCGCTTTCGACAGCGGAAGCTAAACGGTGTGACTTTAGTCGGTTTCTACACGAAGTCCCTTGCACTGGTAGCGGATGCCTTTCACTATGTATGTTCTTCCCGATCGTCTAGCAAACTGTTTGCTCTTCCTTTCGCCTACGCCTGATGTTCTTTCTCCTCCGTTCTTGTGGGACTTCATCTGACAGAACTACTCAGCTGAATGATTTGATCGGCTTCATGGTCGCTTTGGCTGCCTTAAGGGTCAGTGATCTGTTGACTATCTTCTCGCTTTCGAACCGAAGATTGACGATGTGCCGCAGGTATCTCAACGTTCTGACTCACCCGATTCTCTCTCCTACGGCTGGCAACGCGCAGAATTATTAGGTGCTTTCTTCAATGGTTGTTTCTTGCTTGCTCTAGGCGTCAGCATAGCACTGCAATCTATCGATCGCTTCGTGTATCTAGAGAGTACGAATCTACCAGCGCTCGGACTTTCAAAGCTAAACGTTTTCTTCTATAGAAGTCAAGAATCCTCAATTAATGCTCATCATTGGCTGTGCCGGGCTCACTTTAAACATTATCAGTGCTGTCTTCCTACACGGTATGTGAAAGTCCTAGAAGTATATGGCTCTCGGCTAACTTTATCAAGACCATGATCATCATGGGCATCATCATGGACATAATCATAGTCATGGGAAAAGACCCATTCCAAGCACCGTCGACATCGAACAAATGAGCTCTGACACGCTATGTGCCACTACGGTGAGCACATCTAGTTTGAGCACTCCAAAGAATCTCAGAGAAGATCGTCACAAGGGTCATTGCCATATGGTTCAACCGTCAAACGGCCGAAGCGAGCCTAGAGATTTAGCGCATCTTGCGGTGATGCTCCATGTTATTATGGACGCAGTAAATAACATAGGAGTAATCATAGCCGCATTGGTTATTTGGTGCACCAAGTATGAAGGAAGATTCTATGCAGATCCAGGCGTGAGCATGGGTATATCATTAATGCTAATCTTCTCCTCTCTTCCAATAAGTATGCTGTTCTTGTACTGTCCTTTTCGTCAACGCATATGTTACTGACTAGTCTAATAGTCAAAAATGCCGGCGCAATAATGCTACAATCGGTTCCATCTGGCATAAACATCAACAATGTCAAGCATGACATTGAAAACATTGCAGGCATCCTATCTATCCATGAGCTACATATATGGAGTTTATGCCAGAGGAAGACAGTCGCTTCAGCCCATATTGTTACGATTGATGCGGATCTGAAATCATTCATGAAGCAAGCCAAGCTTATCAGGGAATGTTTGCATGCATATGGTATCCACAGTGTAACGCTACAAGCTGAAGCATCAAACGGGGTAATCATAAATGGCATAGGTGCGGACGAGAAATGTCAGATGGTTTGCGGAAGTCTATGTGAAGATTTGGCCTGCTGTCCATGAGTGTAGCAGCAGCATGTTACACTATGGAAAGTTCTTGTAACTACTGAAGGCTCCTTTGTCCCAGATTAGAATGAGGGTATGAACCAGTATCTCATTCAAGTAACGATATGTTCACACACGTTGTAAACTAAGAAAAAAATTACGCATTTTCCTTCATATGTCATATTTCACTAATGGTGGCGTTCTAATCGTCTCATTATCCCACCGTCCCATCTTTGACAAAAGTTCGGATGAAACGATTGTGCGAACCAGTTTTGCGAACCATTGTACATGTGAGATTGAAACGATTGATACAACTGATGTGCACACATGAATTCTATGATCCGCCCCACATGTCTTGTTATTCTTCCATCTAGGCAAACGTACTTATCGCCATGTGCTTACCCCACAATTTCCGATAAGAAAATCCCATGAGTTTCCCCTCCAATTTTTTCTTCCCAAGTTCCACCACCCTTTCAAACCTCATATCAATCACCCAGCTCTCAAAATGAAAAATGAAGAACTCTCCGATGATGCGCCCGCATCTGCGCCCGCGCCGGTACCAGGTCAAGACTTTGATCTCCTCGCGCAAGCCATGTCCTCCGCCTTCCCCGGCTTTGCACCTTCCAACTCTGACCCCTCCTCCACAACTCCCTCTCTCCCCCCTTCCCTCGCCTCCCTGCGCGATAAATCCGGTCCCGAAATTCTCGCTTCTCTGAACTCCACTCCCCTGTTCATGACCGAACTCGAGGAAAACGACGAACTAGAAGCTTTCAAGGCATTGGCCTATGAAGGTACACCGTTAGAAATCGCTTCCAATTTCAAGGAGCAGGGAAATGACAGCTTCAAGGAGAAGAGATTAGCAGATGCAAAGGAGTTTTATACGAAGGGTGTGAATATTTTATTGGCTGAAGTGAGGAGGAGACAGAGAGGCGAGAAAAGGTCTGGAGATGTGCCGGAAGAGAAGGAGGATGAGATTGTGGAGGAGGTCAAAATACTTGAGGTGTTGCTTGTGAACAGGGCGATGGCGCATTTGGGACTGAAGAACTATAGGAGTTGTGTGTTTGATTGTGGAGCGGTGTTGAGGATCAATAATAAAAACACCAAGGCGTTTTATCGAAGTGCGAAAGCCCTACTGGCTTTGGGAAGGATAAAGGAAGCGGATGATGCATGTGCAAGGGGGTTGGAATTAGCGGCGGATGACAAAGCACTATTAGCTTTGGCTGGAGAGATTATGAAGAAGAATGAGGAGATTGAAACGAAGAGGAAGAAGGAGGTTGAACGGCTGGTGAGGGAGAAGAATATAGAGAAGATATTGAAAACGTCATTGGCGGCGAGGGAAATCACTCTACGGATGACGGATAAACCACCAGAGATGGAGGATGCGAAGATCGAATTAGTGCCCGATCCATTGGATCCAATCAATTCGACTTTATCCTTCCCAGCTCTCCTACTATACCCTCTTGCAGCAGAATCGGATTTCATCAAGTCGTTTAATGAGATGGATACTGTGGGACAACATCTGGAATACATATTACCACTTCCATGGGACGTTAAAGGTGAATATAGAGATGAAAAGGCGGTGGAGTGCTACGTGGAAAAGAAGAAGGGCTCTTTGATTAAGGTAGGCAGAAAAGTTACACTATTGAAGGTCTTAAATGGTGGAGAAGTGGTGGATGGTGTTGTGAGCATTTATGTTGTGCCGAAGCAGAAAGCAGCGGGATGGATAGAAGAATGGAAAAGGAAGAATGTGGTAGCAAAATAAATGATATCCTCGAGTGAACTCGTTAAAAAAGTTCCTTGTTATAGTTTCTCAACATTTGCAGCATTGTGTGAGTGAGGACTTTGACAGAACTATGTCTCTCGAGTTCATGTGTGAAACTACACCGCCGCAATGACACTGCATATCCTACATGTCAAAAATCACGATCATCACAATTTTCAATTACCATAAGAGACGCAACCATAGATATCAAAATACATAGCAATTTAAATGCATCAACCCACAACATATAAGTACATACAATGCAAAGCTGCTACCCTAAATACGAACAACCTTCTTTCCCCCCGGCATTTAACTCTTTTTCTACTCCCCTCTATCAACCATCCACTCATTTAATCACTTTAGCCACACCAACTTAGCCAAACTAGGCAAACCAGTTCCTCTCTACTCTAATCCCCATACCTCCTCTAATATTTTTCCCTACTACTAATTCCCCGTATCACCTCAACCTACCGAATATGAAATGAAGCATGAAACTTCCGAGACGAAAAAAGAATCAAAAAATCAAAAACAAGATGAGCAAACCATGTATGCACGCAGGAGAAAAAGAAAAGAAAATGATTTGAGCAAATCTGACACGATCTGATCAGGTCAACCGACAAGTGCTCATGTATGAACCACCCACTCGATGGTATTCATCCCAGCTCGACTCATCCAGCACAAAATTGAAGATGAAGATAGACCCTGAGAAATCACCTTTGAGAAGCTCTCTCTCACATACTAAGCGCTCTCCTTCTCTTAACCCGCGGCCCATCGCTATCGCCCTCTTCTTTGATCCACTTCGCGCTCCCCATCAACGGTGTGCCTACGGTGGATACACTGGGTAGAGAAGGTAATGCAGCACCTGCTTCACCATCCTTAACACTAAGTTTCATCAAGAGCCAAGCTGCCTTCTTTTCATCACCAGCTGCATTTGTGATATGATCTCCCGAAATTTCTTCTCTCGCACTTGTAGTACGCTGATGGTTTTGCACTATGTTTGTTGCATGCGCGCGGGGACCAAAGGTAATGGTTCTATCGTTGCCGATAGGACTCTTTTCATCGCCAGTAGCACTAGCGCTTTCTTCACCATCGTATTCTTCGTCTGTGGGATGAGGACGGTGGATATCTCGTTCTCGTTCTCTATCTCTTGAATCAGAGATATTTCCATCTAGTTCTTCTGCGTGTCGCTTGGCTCTCCAGCTAGCTGTCATGTCGGCGAGTCCGCCTATACTTCGCGGAATGGCACTTAACCATGGGTTTGTACCGTTGTGTGCAATGACCATAGCACCGTTCACACTCATGTGTGGGCTCATCAATTTATGATTATGAGTATGACCATAATAAAGACCTTGATTGTGTCCCAGACCATGATCACTTATCCCCATTCCCATCCCGGAGATGTTGATCTCGGCATTAGCGGAATGAGAATTGATGTTCTGATGCTGACGATGACTCATTGCATTTGACAAGGAATGCGAAGGTCCGCTCGGGAGATACGATCTCGCATGGATACCCCAATTTGCACCCGTAAGACCGGATGTAGGAGTTACTGGCGAGCAAAAGTATGCAGCATCACCACTTGATGTCTCGCTCGCAGCATCATGATCAGTACTGCTTTCCGCATAAGGACTCTCACCGCCATAAGTTCTTTTGAGTCTCAGTCTTCGTTCGAGATGACTGCTTGAACTTGTTGGGGGCGTCATGGTGTTTGTGCGAATGAGATAATTAGAGCTTTGCTGTTGGGGGCTAGCGGAGTCGCGAGGTGTAACATTAGTGGAAGATTTGGGGGTGAAGGATGTGTAGTGGAGACGATAAGATTCGGCTTCCGCGGTGGCGGCACGGATTATGTTGGGGTCGATTACCATACGGCCATGTTCTGGAGCGTCGGGTGAAACACACTGAGATGGGAAGGAGGGACCAAAGATAGGAATCAAAGCTGGAGCGATGTGGGAGCAAAAGGTGGTGCAAACGGCGAGAGCGCAGGAATATGGCATCCAGTAACCTGGAACAGAATCAGTATTGGAGTCTCGACTAGTTTTTATTCTTGCATTGTGATGATAATAGAACAACTCTAAAATGTTCGAAAGAAAGAAATAAAATCATGCATTCGACACTGATTATTGATGAAATCAAGACGAGAGACGATGACAACATACCTTGGGCTGCTAAAGCGCCACCAGTGATGCTGTGTGTGATTTCCTTTAGGCCTGGGTTCATCCCGAGCATTTTGGCCGGAGTCGTCTGTAGATGATCAGATGAAATTAGCCATCTTGGGCACACGCAGCCTAATGAATGAAGCTTGCTTACCTTGGAATATTTACAACATTTGAAGAAAGGAGTGATGCGAACGAGCCCAACATTATAATCCCACATAACAGTGTACACTCTATCTTCACCAGGAAGTTTAAATGTGTACTGAAATACTGCAAGCAAAAAGTCAACTCTGGTAAGCTTATCGGAAAGAGTCAGCTTTGCATAGATAGAAGCGTACCTTCGAAGCTCTCTCGACCAGTCTTTTCCAAGAAGTTCTTTTTTTCGCTATTATAAGGGATATGGCGGCAATAATCTTGAATCTTACCAAGTGGATACACTTGGAATTTTGAGACTTCTCGCATATTCTCCTCGCTCAGATGTTCAAACGGTGGAAAATTTACATCGCCCTTAATCTTAGTACCCTTGGCGAAAACTGCGCCGTCCTTAGCCATCTTTTGTTTCTTGATGGACGAGGATTGAATGGGTAGTAGGGTATGCCCATAAGAGGGCGATGAGGTACAAAGCGACGATGGAGGACTTGATGATATTCGAGTGCTTCGCGGTTCTGACTTAGCAGGATTGAGTAGCGATGCTACGGAGAGCATAGTGGGCGGTGAGTGGTGGAAATGAGTTCAACAGAATCTTGTTTCCTCTAAATCTGCAGGCTGAATGCCTCTTTTTTGGAAAGCGAATGAATTCTCTAACAGAAATGAGGGCTAGGAATTTCCAAGATTTCTCGGTACAGTAAATGAAAAAATTAGTGTTTGAATCTGGCAAACAGGAAAACGGTAATGGACTGTTCTTGGATCCTTATGAAGAGATTTGAAGCACAATAATGAACGAGCTTCAACGGCTTCACTTTCGTCGGTGTCAACTAACGATGCAGTTCCTGCAGTCCAAGGATGGATGTCTTTGGACCAAATCGGTATTCTCGAACTGGAGGCAGTCTTTGTTGGCAGTTGTCTGAGAATCAACCAGTAGAATATCAATCGTCCGTTTGTTGGTGCCCACCGCTCTTCCAAAGCTCGAAAATAAGAGGCATCCACTTAGCAATTGCAGACTCCGGGGTAAGTTGGGCAGGGATGGCCTACTTGGTTTCCCAACAAGGCGAAGGAAATGAATTCTTTCAATTTTCTACAGCTTCAAGGCGTGTGATTTTCCTTGAATTGACAAAGACCGAGATAACGAGACCATAAATCCAAACGACATTTAAGAAGCTTCTATTCAGATTCGGCGCTCCCGTGCCCGTCAACATAAAAAGCCAACACGGCCACCAAGCATCCCGCATATGAATTGCAGAGCATATCGAGGCAAGACGTTTCACTACACTAAGAAAAAAGCAATATTTACCGACTTCAGTACCATCAATTCGGCTGCGTGACTGCACAGGGGTGGCAAGCCAGGCTGATCAATTAAGTTTGACAACAACAAATATTGTGCTACAGCCCGATCGGGAACATGGCTTGTTTGAATGTGGATAGCAAAAAGGTTGCTGGACGTATCTGCTGGCCGAGATGTCTTGGGCCGGGTGCCCGCAGTACTTGCGGATGATTTACAGTAAGTGAAAGCCACAATTTCATAGATAGACAAAGAAATCCATCCACCATGAGTGGCACTATCTAAAGTAAGATTGCTTGACTCGATGCACGTGAACAACACATCTTCTATCTGTGTCTCTGTCGGAAAGTAGAGATGCTAGAGAATTAACATATCAATTTCATGAGTATCAAAATTTGAATTTGGAAAGTGGGTACCATCCATCACTATCACTTTTCATAATCTTCATTGAGAAACACCTCGTTAGAGATGCTTTAAATAAACATCATGTCCCCATCCGCCATTATCACATCAAAGCAAATTTCACCCTCTTCCCTAGGAACTTCTTCTACGGGCCTTCGAGAATTAAATGAGAAAAAATACTCTGATCACACAACTAATGCGAGGACTAGTACTGCAGCTGTCACTTGGAAAGCATGGTAAAGTCTACGGGAATATGCAGGTAAGCGTAAAGCCGGAATGCGTGTTTGGCTGCTCTACTGCTCCAACTTGGTGATGGAAATGGTCATTAGTGTGCACGTCATAAAGACATGGCAACTAGGCTGGCATTTGTGGAGATTTCTACCTCAATAGATGTGATGGCATGTAGCAAGCTAGAGAGAGAAAGCAGAAAGATGCAAAACAAACACGAAAGCCAGGATTTGGTGACAAAGAAACTGATGTCTGAAATGACCCTTGCAGTATGGTAGGTAGCCTTATTCAATGTGCAATTTCTGAGATGCTACCATACCCATACACCCTCGAGTCGCAGTTGCTAAGACAATGCCAGTGCGGGTGACCCAAATTGGATGAAAGGTGCAGCCACCCGTCGACTTTGTCGTAAAACGCCTTGCCATAGGTCAACCACGTTGTCGCCAATGCACCTGGACAAACGAAGAAGAAGGGTAGGTTTAATGAGAGAAAACGATAGGACAACATGCGCCTTATGCAAGTCATTACGCCTATTTGTGATGCTCACAACCCCTGGAAGAGACTCGACGAGATCTTCATGCAATGAAAGAAGAAGGCAGGGACACCTTTACTTCGATGCACTTTGTGAGACCGAATCGCTTCTCCCTCATTTTATTTCCTTCGGGCCTTCGGTTTCAAAATTTACCTGGCTTTATACAGAATTTGAATCAAAAATCAAACACATCTATCTGGTCAGAACCCTCTTGCATACAAATTTTTCCGATTTGCAAGCAATATTC